AAAAATATTTTTTTAAAAAAACCAACTTTTTATTTTATTTCGGGAAAATTCATGAAAATTCAACGGGTGAGAAAAGAGGTGAAAAAAGAGGTGAGATCTCACCACTTCACCTAAAATATATTTTTTGGTGGTACGTCGGACATTCGTTTGTGGCTTAACCGTCGGACCCCCTCAGTAAACATCTCATTTTAACTCACTTTTTTCTATCTTAAGGAATTTCATGAAAATTCAACGGGTGAGAAAAGAGGTGAGAAAAGAGGTGAGATCTCACCTCTTCACCTAAATTATATTTTTCAATACTTTTTCAGCACTTTTCCGTAGTTATATATGAAAGACAATTCGAGATAAAAGTCATAGTACAATGGTATAATATGCTGCACACCATTTGTTGTGAACCAAACTTGAAAGTCAGAGAAACTGTTACTAGGTGGTTCGTAGAATTTAGAAGCAAAGTCATAAAAGTCCTTACCAATACATAGAAAACTATTGTTGCTTGAACTGAAACTTGCATGACACATAACATTTTGAGGGTCAAACACGTTTCTATAAACTGTCAAATCTGCTGGTGGAAGTATAAATTTAAATGGACCATCTGGTGGTAATGGTTCGTTCTGGTTTAGTAACCGAAGAAATTGTGCCCAAGAACGTTTGTCTACTCCCCAAAATAAAAACTCTGTATCTCTTGGAGGGTTAATTTCAATCTTTTGAAATGAAACGGTTGAGTTCATCTTGTCATATTCTAGTTTCAGATAGTATGTTCCATTTAGTAAAGAGTCGTATTTTTCTTGAAATTCCCAATAATATTTGTTTATTTGAGTTTGAAAGTCATTTAGAGTTTTCTCAAGACTTTCGTCTGAACGAACTGTAAAGATCCTCATTTCATCAAATTTGTCTATTAGACCATCAGAACCTTTATACTGCCCATGAAAATATACTGCGAACATAAACGCGTTCGTTCTATTTGAAAACAAAACTCTTCTAAATCCTATTGCCTTTGCATCTGAAGGACTTTGAAGCCAACGAATTGGATAGTCAAACCTGTATGAACGGGATGAAATTTCTTCATCTGAAATAGTTCTACCAGCATTTGTAAAGATATAGTCTAACGGTTTTGTATCTGCTACTTTTGTTCTTTGTTTTTCAACCTGAAGCATTTAATATATGTAAAAATATATGGTTTAAAAAACGTTTTTACTTCATATTTCTCATCTAACAAACAAGTTTCCCAACGGTCTTCTCCAACAAACTCAGCGTACAGTTCAAATAAAATAAAAAAATATTTTTTTTCTTTACTTTACATAACTGCCTGAAGCCATAAGTCTTTGACGCCAACCCATACCAGCTAATGAAGGTTGACTTGGTTTAGTTTGGAAACTAAACTTTGGTTTTGGTTTATCTTCGGTTTTTGGTTTTTCTTCTTCTATCGGTTTTTCGTCACTTTTCGGTTCCTTTGACTTTACCTCACTTGCAGGAATAGTTGTGTCGTCAACATCTTCATAAATATCATATGCCATTTGTTTTTGTTTTCCTTTCAACTTTTTGTGTTTGTTGTAAAGTTTAGAATATTTCGACTCTAAGTCAATGAGATGTTCTATAATGAACTGTTGGTCAGTGAAGTAAACTTTTCCATCTGTTGTCTCGAAAGCTCCTTCAGACTTCAATATTTTATTTGTGAGAGTCTGTTTCTTTTTTGAGATACTAGCCGTTCCATTTTTATGAAAAGTGACTTTGTAGTTAGGGTTTGTATTTCCAGACCTGGCACTTTCTATTATTGAATTTTTCTCTTCATCTGTAAGTTCTTTGACAGGTTTTGACAATGGTTCTGAACTTTTTGTTTGTGGTGTCAAATCTACCGTTTCAACTTCTTCGGTCATTTCATCTCAGTAAAAATTTTAGTTTGGTTTGTTTTCAACTGGTTGTTGTTGTTTTTTAGTCGGTCTAAAACTTCCTGAGGTATAGGAAGAACTTGACAAACACGTTGTGTAACTGCTGGAAGTCGACAAATCCATCTTGAACCCATTTGTCTCAATGCTGTATTGTTCATTTCATCTCAGTAAAAACTTTACATTCCCCACGTTTGAGGCGGTTGAGGTTGGTTATTGTTTACCCACTGTTGTGCATGGTTATATCCTCTGTTAAAGAATCTTTCACCTTGGTCCATATAGTGTCCTGCTTGGTTATAGTAGTCATTTGCTTTGTTATAATAGTTTCCTGCTTGTCTTCCTACATTGTCCATCCATCCTTGAACTTTTCCTCTTGTTTCAGGATTTGGAATAAGATTTGTTGCATCTCGTGCTACATCCCAACCTTTCTGTACAGTTTGTATAATAGGTTGTGCTTTCTCTTTAAGTATACCTAATGTACTCAAAATCTTCCTTCCAACTCCAAATACACCTCTGGCTATTGTTCCCACTGCGGGTAAAAATCTGGATGCAACTCCTGCTAACGCGCCAAATAAACCCATTTCTTATAGGATAAAAAATGACGAATCCAAACAAGGACCCCTATGTTTCTAAGGCAACAAAAAAAGCACTCATGGTAAAAATCTTTAGTTCAACACCAAATGCTTGGTTTATGGATATCTTGGAAAACATTCCGAGGTATAGAGAAGATGGACCACCATACTGGCTAATATTTGTCGGTCAAAACACAAGATACTGTGAAGCCATACCATTACAGTCCAAAAATATTTTAGATATCTTAGCAGCTTTGACAATATTTGTTGACAAATACCATCCAACAAAACTGACATCTGACTGTGAAAGTTCTTTCAAATCAGACGATGTAAAAAACTATCTGCGTTCAAAAAATGTAAACCAATATTTCATTGTCGACCAAAACCATTCTGCTCTTGGTGTCATTGACGGTTGTATAAAAATGTTAAGAGACTTAAACCAACCACAAGGTGGTGAAGCAAATGAAATGTCATATGACGACAAATATAGACACTTCTCCATGGCAAAGATGAGACAAGTTTTAAATATTTACAATAACCGTAAACAAAAAGGTTTGGGAAACCACTCCCCCGAAGAAATGAAAAACAACCCCGACTTAGAGAAAGACTATATATTTAATAATTTAGTCAAAAGAGACAAACAAGAAAGAATGCCGGGCTTCAAACTTCAGAAAGGTGACAAAGTAAAAATAGAAATACCCAAACGCGACCCATATGAAAATACTATTGACTATGACAACAATGGGAACCCGACAGGTACTCACATTCGTGTTCGTAAAAATAGAAGAAAGTATACAAGAGAATATTATGAAGTTTTAGGCAAACATGGCAAAATGTACAGACTGCAAGCAGAAGATAAAACTACTATTGTCAGACCTCGTTTCAAACTTGTCAAAGTTCAAGGTGGTATACTTTCAAAGACAGTTTCTAACAAATATAAGACAACTCCTGACGAATATGCTAAAGAAGTTGAAAATGACGACTAAGCAATTCTATACCATGCGTAAACTGTCATGTAAGGTGGCATGTAGTCTTTACTTTGTCCCGTTGTTTGCGTATACCCTGAAACGCGATGTGTATGGTTTCCATCTCCCTGAGTGTTACCCCAGAAACAATTTATAGCAAACTGAACTTCGTCTTTAACATCATATCCTTTACCTTTTTTCATTGCTGACCAATCCCAAAATCTATGCTTATGCCAACCTGCTTGAGATGTACTTAAATCTATGTAGTGACTGTGCGCAGGTAAGTTTTCACCTGAAATCGTTTTACTTCCACCTGTTTCCTTTGAAGAGTTTGCACAATACAAAAACCTGTCGACTATTTGAGTCCAAGTTCCAAAACCAAGTACTACTTCTGGTCTGGTAGAGTTCATTGACGTATAAATAGAGCCAACCGGGTAAATAAGATTCGGCAAAATTTGTTTAAGCACATTGAGTTCCTGTCTTAGATGTATAATACTATTGTCATTAGATATCAAAGTATCTACAAGACTTGTTGCCGGTGGTATTGTTGGAGCTTTACTTGGCAAGGTTGTGTTTAGTGTAATATCATCTGCTGTAAAAGTTGTAAAACTTGTATGTGTATGGTTCTTGTCTGCTTTCTTGTCATATAAATCTTGAGCAGTGAATTTAACGTTATGTTCATCCTTCATGACATAAACATCTTTACATCTAATGTTTCTCATCGTCGTTATGTCGTCATCCGATGTTAAACCTTGTGGAAAGTTAGGAGGTTTACAATATAATACATCCCCACCAGTTTCTTCAACCGTTCCTTCAATACTTTCTATAGCAACAGTTGTAAAACTTGTATGTGTATGGTTCTTATCTGCTTTCTTTTCAAGGCTAACGTTTAAGTCTGTTATTTCAGAAGATGTATGTGTATGTCCAACGTCACTTTTCCTGTTTAAGGTTTCTTGTAAGTTTGTTATATCAGATATAGAATGTGTATGCTGTTTTTGTGGATATGTTCCTTCTGTCCATTTGAAAATATATTCTTTTGTTGCATCTACATATCCAGCTATCCATGTCGAGTCTGCTTTTGTATTCCTTAACTCTGTAACACCTTTCTCAAGCTCTTTCAACTGTTGTCCATCTTCCATTAAAGCTCTGTCATGACTTGAAACCGTTTGTGCCAACATATCTACAGTTTCTTTGTCAGCTTTATTTTCAACGTCATCTTTTGTTGCATATGTTGCATCTGCTCTGTCATGTTCTTCTTGAACTTTTTCAATGACATATGTTTTGTCTGCTTTGTTGTCAACATCTGCTTTCAAAAGAAGTTCAGATATAGGTTTCTCGTTTAAAGTTCCTTTTGTTGGATTTATACAAACAGTATGGTTCTTATTGTCTTGAAACAGAAACTCATCTGTCATTGGGTTTAAAGTCAGTTTTAAGTTTCCTTCTTTCAATGACTCAGATATCTTAGAATAGTTTGAAAAGTTTGTTGTGTTCTTATTTAGAGCTTGTATAATGAGTTGTCGGTTGTGTTGTATTTCTCTCATAGACGCTGTTTCATTTGACATTTTTATTCTAGATAAAATATGCTTTCAATAGAAAAAGAAAATTCTAGAGTTGCTACAACTAAACCATTAGATGAACTTTTTACGAATGTCGGTCAAAAGTTTGAGACAGAGACCGTAAAGCATGAAGGCTATCGTTTTGACTACCCGTTAAGATGGTTAAGAGACCCATCTGTCACAAAAGCTATTGGCTTTCGTAGAATGAAGTTCATTTCAGAAGCCATACATGGTTTCCCATTTACAGTCGGTTTTGAAGTTCGATACTATAACAAAGAAAAACGTATGTATGAGAAATTTGAACAGGGAAAACTTTTACAAGTGAATTTGCTTGTAAACTTAGAAACAACTCTTCAAGCTTTTCAAGAAAAAATAAACGACATCTATATCGAATATGCAAACCAGTATAACATTGACGAGGGAGAGTACCATCTCGATATTATATATGACAGGAAAAATGCAACTGTTAAAATCAATAGAATAGAAGACCTTGGAGAAAACGTTTATATTTCTACAAAATATAACAACTTGGCATGGTATAGATTTCTGAGGATGTTAAATCAGCCTGCAGAATATCCAGTACACCCGGACTTTTTATGAAGTCGAAAACCCTAATGGAACATATGAAAATGTTTTCGACTCAGATGCTATTATAGTTCATGCTTCATTTTCTGGTGCGCAAAACTCTTTTTTATGCTTGGCAAATGACTTTTACGAAAAACCTACAAAGCTATATGAACCACCAAGTGGAAGTATTTCAGACTTTCAAGTATGGTTTACAACAGATGGAAGAAAGAGAATAGTTCCATTATACCATGCGTTTTACTTAGAACTTAGTTTCATATACAACTACTATCGAACGGTAAAAATATAATTTTTTAATACGGTTGAGGTGTTGGATTTGGTTGCCAACTAGACTGTGGTGCAGGTTCAGGCTGTTGTATAACAGGAGCTTGTTCTTCTGGTTCAGGGTCTTTAGGTATAATACCAACAAACTGACCTACTCTTTTACCAATATTTTTGACTCCGTTCCAAATTCCTCTTCCTACGGTTTTTATTCCATTCCATATACCTCTTCCAACATTTCGAAAGAAGTTTCCAATACTACTGAAGAAACCCATTTTACTATATGTAAAAATCTAATGTCCGCCTAGTCTTTTGCGTTTCCTGTTGAGTTCCATAGCATTCTTTAACTGGAGCTCATACATTCTGTTTCTCCTCTGGTAGAAAACATATTCTGGGTCAACTCCTGTGTTCGCGTCATCTGCATAAAGTTGTTTATATCCCACTTCGGGGTTTGTATAAAACTCTTTCCATCTCATATTTGCATACCATGGTGGCAAACCTAACGCAGCGTCATTTGACATGGCAGTTTGCATTTGTACATCTGTTGGCACTTGACCATAGTTTGCCATTGCAGTTTGTATTCTAACTTCATTTGGAATATTCTCTGGGTTTGGTTGTCCAGGTTGCTGTGCATTCGCTAAGTTCTGTGCGTCCATTTAATATTAGATAAAAATATCTCTTACGAGTACATATACTGGACATTTGCAGGCATTGGTTCATCTTCATATTCTCTATATCTTTCTGCCACGTCAAATAAATAAATGACACAATGGAAAAAACCTAAAACAAGTAGTCCTATTTCAAACCACATTTACTTACTAGTAAAATTTCTTTGTTATGACACTTTCTCCGGTTTATAGGACCTCTCTCATATTCTATCTTGTCATATATAAACTCATAGTCATGTATGTCCTCTAACCATCTCATAACGGTTTCCAAACCACTTTTATCGGATGTAAAGTAAAAGCATGGATGGTTATGTAAAACGTCTAAAGTTTCTAAAGAGTCTCTCAAAGTCCAGTCTACTTGGTATTGAAAATCCCATGTGTTATAGAACGGCGGGTCCACTATAAAGAAAACATTTTCCTTGTCTTTATATTTTTCATACAACTCTGTCCAACGACATCTCACAAACTCTATACCCTCAATATATTTTTCTATGTCCTCTTTGAAAACATTTGTATAGTTAAGATATAAAACTTTTGACATAAGTGTTTCAATGTCATGAACTCTTATAGCACCACTATATAATAGTCTAGCAGATATACTATCCCAGTCTATATATTCTGCTTTTTTCAAAACCTCTCTCACAATATTTTTCTTATCTAATGGTATACGTTCCATCTTACCTATAGGTATCTTTTCTTTTAACTCTTTCAATATATTGTTTGTGTCTGGTATATGTTTGAGACGGTCCATATAGTTGTCGAAGTCATTGCATATAATCTTTGAGTCTGGGAATATTGTATGGCACAAATGGGATATATAGAAACTTCCACCGAACAAATCTACAAATGTTAGACCATTCGGTAGTTTCTTAAGTTCTCTCAATAGAATATCTTTACATCTACTCTTATTTCCAAAGAAGGGTAACGGTGGTTTTGTAAAATTCATTTATATATAATAATAAAAATGTTTTTTCCTGAAAAGTGACAGAAAAGTGACAAAACATTTACGAAGAAGAAGTTTATTTCCTGGACTGTTGTCAAAATGTCATGTTGTCACCATTTTCAAAAAGATGTTAGTTGACCGAGGGACCGAGGGACCGAGGGACCTGGTGACACCTTCAGTTCTTCAAAACATTTACGAAGAAGTCTTGACAAAACATTTACGATGAAATCATGACAAAAACATATACGAAGAAGTCATGACAAAACATATACGAAGAAGTCATGACAAAACATGAAAACATATATAATTTGTGAAAAGCGACACATTATATAATGTTTTCGACCCAGAAGAAGGCTTCTCAAAGTATACTTCCTTGGAACGCCTGTAACTTTTCCTGTAGCGACGATAGACCCTTACTTGTCCGGACAAAGTTATACTAAACATCTTCAGGGCTAGAGGGCACGAAGTGCCTGGAGGCCCCACTACCTTTTTTTTTTTTTTTTTTTTTTTTTACTAAATATTGTATTCATACAAATATATTATTTTAAAGGAAAAATAGATGCTGATAGAAACGATGAAAAATTTTGAAAACTTTACAATTAATTTATGTTCGTTAACCACAGAGCTTGCAATCCAAAGCTCACGTTAGACTACAAGAGTCATGAAGTCTCATACTAAGGGATATCCAACATATATTTTAATAATCTAATGTTTGTGACAAATATTCAACATAAAATTAAGTTTTCGTTTCGTTACAAGGCATTCATACTTTGGAGATATCATATTTAATGTACAGAAAAGTTAATATTAAACAATACATGCTAAAGAATTAATAAATAAGATAATAAAATAAATTTATACGTAATTACTTTCATTTAATATGCTTTATGCTGTATAATATTGATTAAGAGGCATTAAAAGGTTCCATAGTCTGCTTTTATAGGCAAGATTTTTGATAAAAATTTAAAATTTTGAAAAATGATGAGAAAAGGAAAAAAAAGGTAAATGAGAGCAAGAGGAGGGAAAAAAAAAGAAAAAGAAAAGAAAGGGAAGGGAAAAATAAAAGAAAGAAGGACATATAAAAATTTAGATGCGCATTCTTAATGCCGAGGCGGCTTGCCGCCGAGGCGCGATTTTTTTAGGCCTCTACGGTAACCCGGCAATGTTTTTTTAAATCTTGTACAGCCCTAATATGAAGTATATTGATAAGGTAAAAATCAAATTTTATTGCATATTCATCGAGAAAATAAACTAACGAATCCCTCAAAATTGAGAGGGTAATCCTCCTCCTCTCAAATAAACGTACACACGGGTGCACCCTTAATTTCATTTATTTGAGCCCGTATGTACCTAAAAAGGATAATTTTAAATTAATTCGTTAAAACATATTTCAAGCAAAGTTTATAATCTGTTGAAAGTTTTGTGTATTCATTTGAATATTTATACTTAAACTCAACTCCTGTAGTTCCTGGTGTTTCGATTATTCTAATATTACCGATTTTCATGAATACTGGTATTTGACCACAACATTCAATTTCGGGGTCGAGATAATCAATAACGCACTGTTTACCTGTTATTCTTGATATAACATTTTCTCAATCCTCCTTTGTTAAAATTATTTGATTCTTACTAATAAGATTTGTCAAAAGCTTCTTATCGTCTTTAAGTAATATTGTTTGGTATAAATTAAGGAGGTAATGGTCTACGTTATCTGAAGGATTAGTTTGAATAGTTGAATAAGGGTTAGGGCTCAATGAGCCCGAGAACCCTTTGAGTTCTTCTTGAGCTTCACGTGAAATTATGGGCTCTAATGGAGGTGGATATTCTAACTTAACTTCACTATTAGCGTTTGCGCTTGAAGCTGTGTTTAAATTTACCGACTTAAGTTCTGGCTCTTTATCTTTCAAGTTCTCAGAACTATAATTTTTGATTATAATATTATTTGTCGTTCTTGAATCAACATTAGATGTAGGTTCAATAGGAACATTCACTGCACCGGCTAAGATGGATTTACTTCTCATTTTCTAGAGAATAAAAACCTTTTATTACTATAAAAATGAATAATATCTTTGATAAAGGTTTAAACGTGAAACTTGAAAATGAAAATCTTGTTGAATTCACTGAAACGGGCGCGGTTTATAAAGATGTTGAGGTGTTAAATAAGAAAGCAAAAGGCAGGAGTAGAAATATGAACATCGATTATAAACCATTTACTATTTACGTTAATGATGGTTCTGGTGGTTCAAACATTAAATATGCAGAAAGTAATAGAGTTTATGCGTTAAAAGGTGAAGCACCATCGATTAAAAACAGTTATTCTAATCTTTATCCTCAAAAACTAACTAATCCAGAAAGTGTGGACATGAATGACACCAAAAATATAAACAGAAATGGTGATAGAGATGGATGGAATCTATTCACTACACTTCATCTAAAAATAAAGCTTTAAAATAATGTTGGTCTTTCCCAAGGTATATTTTTAACATTAATTGTATTAGTCATTATATGAATTTCTAAATATGAACGTGGTGAAATGAGTGATTTATAAGCATCCCAGATTTCATCAAAAGGTAATGTTATACCTGATTGCTTCCAAATTAATTCTATATCGTATTTTGAGAAACCTTGAAATATAACGAAATCAGTAATTAAACGTTTAATATTTAATGCTAAAAACCTCCACGTTTGCATAAGTATTGCAACAGTCATGTGATAATGTCTGACTTTAGTAATTAAATTCGCTAATGGTGAATCTGGTTTTGAAACTAAACCTTTACCAGCGAAATCATCACAAACTAATAAAGTGTTTGATGGATATTTTTTAAAAGGATATTTTGAAAGTTTTGAGAGAATGTAATTTGTCAATCGTTTCATATCATAAGTACCATCCTGCTGTCTCAAATGATGTTTATCAATAATTCTTTCCATTTCTTCCGAGGTCTTTTGCATTCCTGATTGTATAAATTCAACTATTGCATAATATTTCTTCTTTCTTCTTATATAACGTTGAAGAAAAGAAATTAATTCGCTATCTGGAACTTTAATTACTGATGCCTGAACTTTTGACATAAACGTCTTCGCTGTTGAATCCATTGAATCTGAAGTTGCTGATATAATGATTTGGTCATAATATGAATCTTGACCTAACGTTCAGTAATTAAAATATGACGTATTAAATTAAAAGTCTTTCCCGAACCCATTTTTCCACAATAGAAATCCACACCGTTTGAACAGAACTGATAATCCTTACTGAAGGGAAGAATTAATGAACTATTAAGTTTATCAGATTTTTATTCATTTTTTCATCGACTTCTTCAAATAAATGTTTCATTTTATTATAATTAAAAATGCAAGTCAGAAATTTTGTTAATACCGTTCCCAGTCTTAATGATAAAAGTATTAAAATCTATTATGAGCACATATTTTCACAACCGTTTAAAATAATCAATGGTGAATACATTTATGAATGCCCTAAACACTGGGTTGATTATAACACTGGTGAAAAAGCAATTGAAATAAGACAGATAAAAACCATTCCTGCAGGACGAACCATTGAATTATATAATTTTGGAATAATAAGAGATAATCATCAATATGATTTACAGATTTATATAGATTTAGACACAGGAGATGATATGACAGCATTTAATAAAAAGATTAAATCGGTTCTTATTGAACAGTTAAAAGGTGCCGGATATCCTCAACCTAATGAAGTTGATATGTTTTATAGTTTTTAAACTAATTCAATAGAATTTCGTGTTAATTCAAATTCAAAAGCTGGTTTCATATTTGATTTAAAAGATAGCGCTGTCGGTGATGAGATTGAAAATGTATACACGAATAAAAATTTTCAAGAGATTCCAGGAATTAATAATGATGAATGCTTTTATCGATTTGCTCAGTTTGGAGCAGAACAGATAACATTAAATGACCTCCTGGAGTACCTACCAAAATCAATTTCCATTAAAAATGATGATTATTTATTAACATCAATTTCATTTAATGGTGTTTGGTCCAGGGAAGCAGCAATCATTAAATCAAGTATAAGTGAATTCGCTGAAGATTCTATTTTATGTTTATCAAACTGTTTATATTCTCCGCCGACGAAAGTAAGTCTGACTTGAAATGTAAGTCTCGGACGAAAGTAAGTCTGACTTGAAATGTAAGTCTCGGACGAAAGTAAGTCTGACTTGAAATGTAAGTCTTGGACGAAAGTAAGTCTGACTTGAAATGTAAGTCTCGGACGAAAGTAAGTATGACTTGAAATGGAAGTCTCGGACGAAAGTAAGTCTGACTTGAAATGTAAGTCTCGGACGAAAGTAAGTATGACTAGAAATTTAAGTCTGACTTGAAATGTAAGTCTCGGACGAAAGTAAGTCTGACTTGAAATGTAAGTCTCGGACGAAAGTAAGTCTGACTTGAAATGTAAGTCTCGGACGAAAGTAAGTCTGACTTGAAATGTAAGTCTCGGACGAAAGTAAGTCTGACTTGAAATGTAAGTCTCGGACGAAAGTAAGTCTGACTTGAAATGTAAGTCTCGGACGAAAGTAAGTCTGACTTGAAATGTAAGTCTTGGACGAAAGTAAGTCTGACTTGAAATGTAAGTCTTGGACGAAAGTAAGTATGACTTGAAATGTAAGTCTTGGACGAAAGTAAGTATGACTTGAAATGTAAGTCTTGGACGAAAGTAAGTATGACTTGAAATGTAAGTCTCGGACGAAAGTAAGTATGACTTGAAATGGAAGTCTCGGACGAAAGTAAGTCTGACTTGAAATGTAAGTCTTGGACGAAAGTAAGTATGACTAGAAATTTAAGTCTGACTTGAAATGTAAGTCTCGGACGAAAGTAAGTCTGACTTGAAATGTAAGTCTCGGACGAAAGTAAGTCTGACTTGAAATGTAAGTCTCGGACGAAAGTAAGTCTGACTTGAAATGTAAGTCTCGGACGAAAGTAAGTCTGACTTGAAATGTAAGTCTGACTTGAAATGTAAGTCTCGGACGAAAGTAAGTCTGACTTGAAATGTAAGTCTGACTTGAAATGTAAGTCTGACTTGAAATGTAAGTTTCGGACGAAAGTGAGTCTGACTTGAAATGGAAGTCTGATTCTAAATGTAAGTTCTAGACTAAAGTAAGTCTGATTCTAAATATAAGTCTGATATTAAGATAAGTTTGTAACTAAAATTAAGTCTTATTCCAAAAGCAAATTTAATTGTATAATAAGTCTGGATCTAGAGTAAGCCTTAGTCTACAGCTATTCTGTGTCAAAAATAAGTCACGAACCATAGTAAGTTTCGGACTAGAGTATGTCTGTAATTCGAATCATTCATATTCTTCAATTATCCCGCCAAAAAAATTATCGTCTTTTTATCATACCATAGTTTTTATCAATCTCGTTCTACTTAAAAACCTTTATATTGGTGATTTCTTTGTTAAACCCGTATTTTTTCATGTGAATCTTATTGTATAAACTCTAAAAGTTCAATTTCCGGTCGAAAAAAACTTGAAAACAATTTGTATTCGACGAGTTAAAGAGCTCTATTTATTCTAAATTTTCCAAAAAATTAGATTTCGTTTTTTCGCTTCAAAAAATGTTGTTTTAAGTTTTAAAATTTGTAATTCAAAATTTTTTGGAAAGATTTACGATTTTTTAATACTGCGAATGAGTTTTATTTTACATACTCTATTGATAAATCATATTTTTGTCGAGATATAACTTTTTTTAAAAAAATTATATGCAAAGAGTGTTATAGAATTCTAGAAGGTATAGTGCATAATTTGAAGTATACTATCAAATAAAGAAATTTTACAGTTTTTTAGTTTTATTTAGATGTACGTTATTTTAGATGGCTTCGTCGAAAACAAAGCATGTCTGTTAAGTTTATTCTTAACATGGTAAATAAAATGGCAACGAAGCCCAGTGTACTGCGTCTTATGCCGTAGTTTTTGTTATCTTCATACTCAAATACAACAAATACAAATAGATTTATTACGAAAAAACGTATAAAACAAATGATATATTTATTTCTAGACAAGTTGACGAACATGTAGCGCAACTGTATCGCTTTAGAGAACAGTTCTTCCAACACCTACTCATTCAGTGAAAGATTTAAGAAGAACTCTTACTCGACCTTAACTACCTACGCTTTGCTTGAACAATTCCCAACGAGGTTACTATAAGGTTGCAAGTCTTGTCAAAATGTAGTATGCAATACGTTGGGGAAAAATAGATATATACGAACAAACTACTACAGTCTAGCAACTAGTCTTTAAGTGTAATGTATTTTTGCTACAAAGAGCTCATAACGAAGTCAAATTTTGCAATTTGATGTCAAAACTAGCTAGTTGTTGAATCAAATAGCGTTGTGACTTTGTATACATCACGATCTTGTGGTATCAGAGCTGTACTGCTGCAGACTAATTCAACTAAACATGAGCAAGATTGGGATTTCTATTCTCTGGGGTGCGAGGCTCGTCCAAAGTTCAAGCAGCTACAGTGTTTTGGATCACCTAAAGAACTTTGGGAATTCAGTTATCCGTTACTACTCTTAAATTAAAGTAGAGCACTACAGCGCATCAATCGTAATGCCTAGTCTCTCCAGTAACAAGCTGATCTGCTATATTAACTTTAAAGCCAAATCGATTCACATTGTTGCTGGTAAGTCTGATTGCTTCAGATAGAGAGCATGAATTGCTTCTTTATCATCTAATCCCCATCCCCCTTGTTCCCGATTGGATGACATGGACAATTCATCTTTCTCTAACGAAACAAAACGACACTTTTTGGCGGCTTATTGACTCAGAAAAATTTGAGAGTTAACGAATAATTTTGGCGCCAAAAATAATTTCTCTTAATTTATTAAATTTAATATACGCACATCCATAAGTTATGCTATTTTTTCTATTTATTTTGTTCTAAAATTCTAAATATTTTTTTTTCATAACATAAAATATGATGTCTAGTCTCATTTACATAACAACATGCCTTAGAATAGGTTTTTTATTCTTTTTGTCACTTTAAATTAAGAATAAAAAGATAATTTAAATTGAATATTTGCGATTATTCTCACTAATGCTGCTTCCTCTTTTATTAGGTAGACAACAAAAAGTTAGCCTTGGACTCCCATATCAGATTTTTGATTGGTTGCGTATATAATGAGCTGGGATTGATAGACGAAAACCCAGTGAGAAAATTTTTGACGCCACCAAAAGGAATAATTAGAAGAAAAAGTGTTTAATAAAAAATTTCAGAATTCCCAGTTAAGAATGAGATTTTCTAAATGGCTATCTTCAATGTCAAGAAAGAAGATTAAAAAACTAGGAAATCTTGCATCTCACTCATTGGAAATAGCAGGAGGTCTTTCGTCGTCTGAGGAAGGAAATCCTTGTTGATCGTTATTAACCTGAGGATTGTCCTTCGCCTGGATAGGTGCATTACATATTATAACAGGAGCATCATTATTCATTTCAAAAGAATTATGCCAGTTTTTCACTTTTTAACAAAATTTGAGAAGAAACACGTTACCGAGATTATTCAATTTTGAAGATTTATTCACATACTAGATCGACGACGATTCTAATTTTATAAGTGTGATTTTTTTGAGAAATATAGGGGGCAAACTCTTATCAAAAAAAATTGAATCAACCTAGGTTCCATCTCCATATTCTCGTAAACGAAAAAGAGGATTTGACGTAGTCAAATCCTCTCTCTCTCAAAAAGTGGACTTTACATGGCAAATTTCAAATGCATGTAAGGTCCACTTTGATCAGTTTCAGGATGGAATTGGAGGCCATGAGGTACTGACATTGCATCAGTATCTCATAGCCTCCAATCCCTTCAAAAAATGGGAGAAACTTTGGTCGAATAATTTAACATTCGGCCAAAGTTTCTCCCATAATTAATGAGAATGAAAGGGTAAGAGGCATATAGGGTCACTATATACCTCTTACCCTTTCATTTTCATTTGGAGGTCAACAAACCCGGAGTTAATTGCAAACAATTAACTCCAAATTTGTTTATGTTAAGGAAGGAATTGGAGGGTAAGAGGTACATAGTATGAATATGTACCTCTTACCCTGCAATTCCTTCTAGAAAGTTCCAAAACTTTGGGTTAATTGCAAACTATTAACCCAAAGTTTTGGAACTTTCAAGTGGAGATGGAAGGCTTTGGGGTATACATTAATATAATATACCTCAAAGCCTTCCATCTCCACTACAAATGGGAGAAACTTTGTCCGAATAGTTTAACATTCGGACAAAGTTTCTCCCATATTTCAATGTAATTGCTACCTGTGAGGTACTGACTTGAAGTCAGTGCTTCACAGGTAGCAATATCCAAAAATTTAAAAACATTTTATCAGTTCGTTAGAGAACTAGAGCCTCCTAGGTACTGAACCAGAATCAGTGCCTAGGGGACTCTAGTGATCTATATAAATCTGAGAAACTTTGAGGAAATTGTTCGACATTTCCTCAAAGTTTCTCAGCAATTTAGCGAGGAATGTTCGTTATCGTGTAGATATTTATAATATATACATGATAACAAACATTCCCCGCTAAAAGATGTAAAATCTTATAAGAAATAATTGCAAAAGAATAACAAATTACAACAAATTTTATATGAAACTGAACCTTATGAGGTAGTGATTCAAGATCACCGCCTCATAAGATTCAGTTTCAATCTCAAGTATCTCAAAAGTAAGGCTCTATTTTTTGCCATGTAAAGTGTCACTTTACTGTCAAACCGTTTTTATTGTTTTCGTTTACAACAATATAACCCGCTCGCAACATTTACGGTTGATCCAGTCACATTCCTTTCAATCCTTAAATGAATCCATATATCCCTTATGATTTCCTAACGCCAAATTGAAACAATTAATTCGGATATCCTTTCAGAATTAAAAATATGCTTGATATTTCAAGCTGAAACCAAGCTTACAATCAACTATTTATGTTACTTACTCAAAATTCCTTTAGAATAAAGATTTATGTGTTATGTCACAAAATTTTTCATTTGTGATGTTCATATAATTGCGCTTTTCGAGTAAATTTAATTCCCTCTGAGATTCAGTGGGTAGTACTAAAGTCCACGGTGGCAAGAGCGTATAACTAATATCGATTTAAGCACACTCTTAAATCGTTAATTCATTTTTTTCTCAAAATTTTGAAAACTTTATACGTTAATTGTGCTCCTTCTAAAAAGAATATAAATCATGAGTACCCGGAGCTCGTTACATAATTCTATCCGATCTAAAACGAGTTCCAGATCGAGGGTGCCTGCTGCTTCAAGTATGTGGGATGAATTTAACCAAACAACAGACAAACCTTCGACTCCTTCTCAAAAATTTCTCGAAAAGAAAGGCGAAGACCCAAATTTTGTGAGACTTCATCAAAGAGTATTGCGAGATCTCAAATACACTGATATGGATATTGCGGCTTCGATAATACAAAACTGTTGGAAAAAATATCGAATTAAATCTTACTTCTTAGCATTTATTAGAAAATATAAAGCAATACATCAACGTTCATACAGTTCTTTTTTCTACAATTTAGCAATACAGAGAATGACAGACCCGGAAAAAAGGAAAAAATTTTTCGATATCATAGCACGTCGTCTATTATGGGGCCGCAAATTATCACGAGATTATCACATGCTTACTTATGACCAATGGAATGTCTGCAATCTCTATTTAGTTCCAAATTTTATCGATGACCAGAAACTTGTTCAATTTGTTCGCAAAATATACTATCAAAAGATGCGTACAATGCTTTTGGACTGGTTTATCATTACACGTCGAAATGCAAAACGAAGAAAGGTCATGTCAAATTTTCATATTGTAAACGCAAACAGATCTGAACTCAAACAGCTCTATGTTCCATTTATATTATGGAAATTTATTACCAAAAATGTCTATTTTGATCGTACAGAATACACACACATACCAGAAATTCAAAATTACAATCAATCTCTCATAAACCAAGAAAAAATTCGTAAAAATGCAGATAAACAGCATTTGTTTTTCGTAGGAAAGCGCGTTTTACAAGCTCTTTTTCAGAAGAAACTTCAGAAATATCATGATAGAGAACAAGAAAAGTTTGGCGATGAGTACAATCTCAAGAGATGCATGAAATACGCATGCAAAGCGTGGATTAGAACTGTTTCTGTGCGAAAGGACATGATTAAAACCAAAACTTTGGCTTTATCTAAATGGCACAACGTTGTGAACTCTAAGCAGCAGCTCCAGAAGCTGTTAAAGATGTTTGAGGAGCGGCATAAAGTATATTTGAAGTTGTTCATGTTGAATGTTTTCAAGAAAAACCTTCAAATTAATACAATCTTGCACACACATGGATACATCAAGATCCAAGCTTTGCCAAGTCTCGCTAGATTTTTTGTTCATGCAGTTGCAGGTAACGATACACTTGCATGTCTCTCATCAGCATTATATGGCTGGCTTACATACGTAAGGCGTCGTAAGAACTGGCAGCAGTTTGTTGCAGCGAATATACAGAGCACAAACTACAACCACACAAAAGGAAAAGCACTGGCAGCATTGAGATTCAGAAGATATCCTCCTCTTCCATATGGATTTGTTGCTCCTCATTTTCAAATGCAAACGTACAAAATTTATAAAGCCGCTGTCAACCACCAGATCTCTCCATTCCTCATTCTGAGCAACCCAGAGAGTTCAGATATTGAAGAAAAGATTAAAAACGCGAAAACGAAATACGAAAGGAGAGAAATGTTTTTTATGGCGTGGAAATCGACAAAACAAGATTTGTCTCTTTTTATGAGAATTGCATTAGTTGCAAATGCGCGCGCCAGAGATTTTAAGAAGAGAACTGAGTTGCTTGTTGATGAAAGAATGATGAAATCGTATGAGAGATCTCTTTTGACTCTGAAATCTCTGAATTTGGCTTCAAAGGAAAATTTCGAAAAAGTTCAACTGGAGATCAAGAAAAACAATGAAAAAGCTTTGAGGAATTCAACAGCAAGCATCAGAAGAATGATGATGCTGATCACAGCGCTGGATTCTCATCAAGCTGCCATTGATTTAGAAAAACTGGATCCGTTTTTCAGAACAGTCAAAAATGTGACACTTGTTGACGATGTACAGAAAGCATCCGAACAGTTATCAACTGTTTACACTCCATTGACTGATATTGCGGCAATGGGTCGAAGTTTTCCAGAGTTCAAAGGAGAAATTTCGAATTTTGAGCGATTGACAGTACATAAAAGCGGATTTGACAAACAATACGAAGAAATGAAAGTAATCATATTTATTGAGAAGAAGAGATCAATGGCAACACAAGCAGCTACTTCGCATTTCAGTAATATCTTGAACAGAAATGATTCAACAATTGAAAATGCTGCAAAAAATGCAACTTCAACAAAAATCACCACATTTGCAAAGAATTACACAGAAGATGTTTCGATAAAGAAGGGAGATGGAACCATTGACAAATACTCGAAGATGTTTCCTCAATATGGAAACAAAAGGAAACTGAGAGTCAGTATGTCAAAATCTTTTCAACTCGATGACAAGAACCAAAAAGAAGAAGAAAGTGACGATGAATTCATTGGCCTAAAAATATCAAGAGATAGCACAAAAGCAACACTTTCCTCTGACTCTTTAAGCAGATCAAGCTTCTTCAACATCGGAGGATTCGAGAACGCTTTGAAAGCTTCAGCCGCAAAAATGTTGGAGATTAAAAAAGATGAAAGGCCCGACAACCAAATGCCTCAAATTGATGAAATGTCTTCAGAATCAGAAGAAGATTTTATTGAAGAAAATATTCCACAGAAAAGTGACACAAAAAGTGACATCAAGAAAGTCACAAAACAGAATTCGAAGAAGATCAATTTCGGGGATGGTTTTGATGATACTATCATGAGAAGTGCCCTGAAATCAAATGATTTCGATGATCCTGATGTAAATAACCGCTACAAAACATTCCTTCAAATCATGTTTGGAAAGCAAGGAAAAGATTCTCCTAATGCAATCCAAATACAGCAGATCAAAAGAAAAATCATACAAGACTACAAGAACAGGAAATGGGCAGCACCAGGCATCATTACTCAAGGTGTAAACAGACCTGTTTCGAGTGTCGTAGAAAGTTACAGGAGAGACAGGAAAAAATTAAATTGTGAATTTACATCAGAAAAATTGACAACAAAAAACAAAATTTTGTCTGATAAAGAGATGCCTAAAGAGTACGAAACGAAATATAACTCAAAAAAGTACTACACAAATTCAGATTTCTCTGATAACGACGAAAATGAAGAGGAAGATGAAGAAAATATTCAAAATCAGGAAGAAGAAGATAAAAGTGACAAAAACCGCCAGAGTTTTGTAAACACTTTCAAAGATGACGACAGATTCCAGCAGGAGAGGATGAAGGAGAAAGAGGAGCTTGAGAGTGAATCAGATGAAGACATAATTAATGATAAAAATAGTCAAGATGACACACAAATTGATGCCGCTGCTCAACAGATAACAAAAAGTGATGATTTCAATGTCACTTCTGATTACATTCCTGGCGTTGGCTACACAATCAAAGACGAAGAAGGCAATGTCATTGGATATGATCCAACAGGAAAATCAGCAACATCAAATCCAGATGAAAAAATTGTTAAAAAATTTATTGATAATGGTGTTGCACTTAAAAGTGTCAATAAAGTTGTACATCATATCATCAACGAAATGGCGAGAACAGAGAGCGAGATCTCTTTCGTCGAAGTTGACTCTTTAGGACCTCCTGAATTAGATTTGTCTCAACTAATTCCGCCAAAGGAAGAAGAACCTCCAAAACCCCCAGAAAAACAATCCGAACCTCCTAAAAAGAAATGGACAAAACATGGACCACCTCCTAAATCGCGACGACCGATTGTAATCCCTCGCATGCAAACAATTAAGCCATCAATGGCGAAGTTTTTGTTTGATGATGACAACATGACAAAAATCATTTACGATGAAGGAGGAGTCACAAGAATTGAAGGTGAAATGCGTCCTCCAGAGCAGCCTCGCGAAAAGAAGAAGTGGTTTCCTGGAGTTCCAGATCATCATGTTTCATATTTCGTTGAAGACCAAGTTGTCAGCTTTCCTGGTGGCGGAAGGCAAATTTCTGGAAAACCTCACAATTTCACTAGTCCAAGGATAAACTCGGTTAAAAACAGAGGCATCACAAAGCCAATTGTTTCAATGAACAATAGGCCATTGACAGCGACGAAAATTGAGAAAAAGAAGACTAACTACAAAGATCCACTTGATGTCGTAAGAGGTACATTGATACACCTCACAAGTATGATGGAAAACAACGACAAAGAAATTTACAAGAAGTTCACACACAGAGTTAGATCAATGAACAAAAGACCGCCACCTCCAAAGAAAATTGGAGATCCACAGAGTGACATAAAGACTGTTGAATTTTCTGATTTCATACAGAATATCTACGTCAGGTTATCCAAGGATCATAACACAGAAACAGCAGCAAACACTTTGATATCGACTGCTAGACAACATCAAAGCTTTCTGCCTGTTTTACAAAAAACAGTTTCTCGAATGTTTGCAAGGCCTAAAACAACTCTTGCAAAAGCAGAAATGCCAAGAGTCAATGACCAACCGAACACCAAATCTACTGCAAAGTTCATAGACATATCATGGTACACTGAGGACCCTTATTACAAGGCTGTTGCTCTTCAATTCGCTGATGACAATTCAACTTTGAACGCTGTTATCGCACCAACATTTGAGAACACTCCTAAGAAGAGAAGTGCGAGACCAAGCACTTCAATAGATAAGAGGAAAACATGGGATGATGTATTGAAAGATTACTCTTTAGGAGATATGATGTTAGTTACACCAGTTGACAAATAATTTTTGTATTTTAGTATTAAATATTTTTGTTTGTATTTTTTAAGTAACAACAATTGATGAAAATGCTTTGGGGGTGTTGCTTCGGTTTAAAATTGCAGTACAGTCAATTTTTTTCCCCTCATAACTATCTTTCTAATGATTGTGATTCATTTCATAAGGAAACTTCTTATAAAATAATATATATTTACAATGAACAATACCAATTTTTGAATAAGTATCCAAGTTATTATAGTTCAAATTGAATGTGGTACACAAATGAAATCTAGTGAATCTATTATAATCAATAAATGAAATATTTGGAATTGGTTTTGGAAAATATCCTGTGATTGATGTTGCAACACCAACTTTGATGGCTTCAATTGCAAGGTTAATGTCAACAAGAAAATTCTCGTGATGATTAAATAGATGAACAATATAAATAACTTTGAGTTGAGCAGATAAAAGTGTGTACACAACTGCAAAGCCAAACATATTGTTACTTGCAATAATTATTGTTATGCACAAAACTTGTTTTAATTGCATTACTTCAATTCACCAAATTGATTTGCATATGCATCTTTGTAGATCGCTATTTTTCCTTTGAAACAGTTTACCCAGTCTCTTGCATTATCAATTCCATATCTAGGTATATATTCAAGCTTTCTATAATATTAGCTGTAATTAACTTGATCGAAGTTCTTCAAAAAGACAAAGAAATTTCCGTCTGGTGGATTTTCGTCTGTGAAATTCTGAATAATCAATTGATCAATATACTCTGGGCATAGCCCATTTTTAATGTGTCTTAAATAGTGAATAGATAGTGATTAGCTAAGATATATTTGTATTTTTTTTTTAGTTCATCCAATGTTTCGATTCTATTCATAATAAAATCTGATAACGCTATTTCACATAAGATCTATATCTCAAATTATCATTAATCTTTATCATTTGTTTATTGCAATAAATGTCAAATGAAGCAACTCTCTCCGCAATAAAAAAATTCACAAGCAAATATGAAGAAATATTGTTTTATACAGATGGAGAAATCTTCACAACTAAGGAAAAATACGTTCCTTGCACTGCTGTTGTTTCGACATCAATTATTTACGTATTTAAGTACCATTTTGGCGGAAAAATGAATTTAAAGCAGAGAGTTTCCATTCATGATCTTAAAGAAATCAGGTATTTAACAAGTTTAGCTCGTTTATTTGTTACTGAAGACACCTCTTTCAATATTCAACTTGAAAAGATCCAGGAGTTCGAAACAAGTATCATGGTTGCCATGAACAAGTTTAATTACTCTTCAAATTGCCCATTAATAATTCAATTCACAGGATATCCCGATGAACCACCGAAAGCACCTCAATTACAACAGCGCCCAGAGAACTTAATACTTTCCCGTTATCATACATTAATAACAAGGTTCACAGGACAGTCACATTTAGCTTTAAAGAATACTTACTTATTCTTTGAGTCAACATACCGCACATCGATCACTTTTGACGATAAAATTAGTGATCCCGAGTATACAGAGTACATTTCGGTACCAATTGCTCATGAATCTTTATTACGCTATTTAAACTTCAATAACTTCGCAACAAATGGCATAAACTTCATTCTTCGTGATATTATATACGGTACGAAGTCAATTACAACGATTACTTTGAGAAATTACGCATCAAAATTAAATCCAACGGTAATTGAATTCTCTAAGTCATCAAATCCATCAATTATAGCATGGACATTCGAGAATTGCTTCGAAAACGCTAACGATTTCCTCGAATTCTTTGAATCTTTTTCTCAATATCAAGGAACTATCCAATGCCTTACAATTCGTAATGTATCCCTTACTACTGGCGTTATCAGAGCATTTGGCAACTTATTGAAGTCATCACGATGCTTTGTAGACATGGAATCCTTGATTTTAGATAACATTTCATGTGGAGCATCGAATGGTTTAGAAATATTCAATACAATCGACCAAGCGGCCAAGTTTCTCACAAAACTTACGAATTTTTCATGTTCTGGGTGGGAATCTACGATAGTTCAGCCCAGAATCACTTTAGGATCGCCTTACGAGATCACTGCATGCCAAGGATTGCGTCACATCGCATTAACTCATTCTTCATTTGCAGAAAGTGAAGGATTTTTGCAATTTCCTCCAAATCTTTGCGAAATCGACGTAAGTTACTGCGTTTTCTCATCGGCATCACTAATAGCGTTCATAAGATCAATTAAAGAGTTCGGAAAGAACTTAACTGTCAATTTAACTGCGATTCAAATGAAAACTACAGAATGGCAAGCTTTTTATCGCGATTGCTCAACATTGATAGGCATAAACAACATCATAGAACTTAATTACAGCAGTAACCAGTTTCCTCAGGACTTTGAGAAGGTTTTTTGCCAAATTTTTGTAACTCCAACACTTAAATTCATAAATTTATCAGACATTTTCACTCCAGAGAGCATATCTAAGCTATTCTACATCATTGATCAGCTCGCACAGATCGATTTGTACGGAATTACGATTGATGGAACTGATCAACACAGATTAGGAGATTCTTTAGTAGATTTAGTTCTCAATCTGCGTAAAATAAAGAGCTTAGAGTTCCTTGCTATCTCAAACCACTTAGTTTCCGACCAAGCAACAGTAAATCTTTATAAACATCTCCCTGCCCTCAAAATGATCCACGAATTGACGGTAGATGGTACAGAAAATCTCGGAAGAGTCAATTTCTTTGGTTTCTACAAGAGAATTTGGATGCCGAAGAATATTTTGTCAATTGGATTTCCAATTATCGACTACAAGCGTTTGTTTTCGAAGAAAGAGGCTATCGTTCAAGAGTTTGGATCAGAGAGGTGCCAAGCATGGTGGGAAGTCATGTTTTCGAAGCAAAATGTCTCAAATTCTTTCATAAGATCCGAATTTTACAGAAGGAACTTGAAATTTGTCGAATTCGCAAAGTTCCTTGTTTCATTCCCTATTCCACTCCGCTTCCCAAGAGCCGACAACCACTTCTTCCACTTCAATTGGCCTGAATCCGCCATGAATCAAAAGTCACTTTTTGACGAAGAATTTCTTGAAACAGACTCTTTCGTTACACGTCAAATTGCATCGATGACGACTGTTTTCCAGCCTCCGAAATTCGAAGGACCGTCGGAAATCACGATTCCTCTGATTTTGAGAAGATATTTCGGAACAGAGCAATTCAATGTAAAGAGAAACATCGTGGAGATCAAAGAAGACCACTCCGAACTAATCAGAGAGGACTTTATCAAGTCTCATTACGATATGATCAACGTAAACATGGCTTCTCTTCTAATTGACGTCGACAGGATCTGTGACATGCTCGAACAACTTGCAGAAGAGGAAACAGACCTCACATGTAAGGTAGAAGATGAAAAACCGCCGGAAATCATCAATCAAGCTGAATTAAATTTCTTCAGGAACGAACTTAGAGCTCTACAGAAGGACACAATGTACGATGATTCGCTTCAAACTCGTACAAGACGTGGAACTTTCGTTATTTCTCATAATCAAATGGAAACTCAGAGTAAAAAGATGGTTTCCATCAAGAATGTCACTAGACGAGAGATGAAGAAGTCTATGTCAATTGCTTTGAATGAAGATTACGTCGCTTTGCTGAATCAAATTCAAAAAGATGGCGTAATCGTGAAAGATTTGGAACAAATGACATTGGCAAGACTCAGAAACATTGCTTACTACGATAACAAGATAGACAAGCAACAAGATGAGTCCCTAACGATGCCAAGACCTTATCCTGTTTCAGATTTCACTCTTGATGAGTCAATTCAAGCAGCTGTTGACGGGAAAAGAGTCCCTGATTCAGAGAATGACAAATTCTCAATGACACTGGACGAAGTTCAGACAGAAAACAAGTTTGCGGAAGATGATCTCGAAATTCAGGCCAAAGCTTTCTCTGTTGAGGCCAAATCGAAGAATATTTTCTTCCAGCGCAAGGGATCTTTCATCCTTCCGCCGATGAATCCAATGGAAGACTCAAATTTGATGTCATCTCCACTGATAATGCCAACAATCGATGGACAAAGTCCAAATGGAAGCGTCTCTACCTTCGAATTGCCCGAATCTCCTCCGGAATCACCAGAAAAAGAACAAAGATCTCCAATTTTCATTATAAAGCCAACAATTCCAAGCAGTACGCCCGTACAAACGAATTTTCCAGAGAACCAGCCAGTTCTTCCACCTCCAATTCCAATTTCGACAAAAATACCAAACAATCAAAGTCCGAATCCGCCTCAAATTCGGCCACCTCCTGTTATTTCTTTCGCTCCTCCAAATATTCCACCTATTATTCGTCCAAAAGTTGCTAATTCCGAATCAGATGATAACAGTGAGGACTTTTCCATGCCTCCGATCGGCCAAAATACTCCTCCTCTTGTTACTCCACCCCATATCAACATTCCTGTCATTAATCCTATCTCTATTCCTCCTCCAAAGATACCAGAACAGAAACCAATTAGTTCACAGTCATCGGAAGACGAAGGAGACTTCTCAATGCCACAAATTGTGTCCTCTCCTACAAAAATTGTCATTCCTCCGCCACCTCCTCCATCAAATCCAGAAAATCCAAATTCAATTAACGCTTTTGACCGACCAGACTTCGTTCTACCACCTAATCTATCAAGTAGTTTCAATGTATCTGATCAGGGCTACCAACAACCATCTCCTCCAGTTATTAAACCAAATCAAGTTCCGACGAAGGTGGTGGACAGTTTGGCACCGACTGTTCCTCACTCATCACAGCCGGTTAAACCAATTTTCATCCCACCAAATATTTCTCCACCTCAATATCAAAATAATTCTGGCCAAAATTCTCCAAAACCTCCAACCATTACTCCCCCACCTGTGATAACACCACCAATTGTTCCACAGAACCAGCCGTTGGATTCTTTGATGCCTGGACCTGCATTAAAAACTCCTGTCATCATCCCTCAGTCGAAATCTCCTCCTCCTGTTATTTCTCCACCATCTCCAACTAAACCATTGGATTCTCTGATGCCAGGAGTCGTAATTCCACCGAAATTACCTGTAATTGTGCCTCCGCCACCTCAAAAACAGCCAGATGATGAAAGCCCATACGAATTACCACCAAGTTTGGCAAGCAACTTAGATATCAAGGATAAATATGTTCCAAATATTCAAAATCTGAATTTACCACCTCCAGAACCAGTTGCGCCTGTTATAATTCCTCGTAAAATGGAATCAACTGAATATTCTTCATCGTATTATTCTGATTATTCTGATTCTGGACCAATTGAGATGCCAAATCTTCCTCCACCACTAAAAGAGTCACTTAGCAAAGATAGTATTCCTATTCCACCTCCAACTGAAGAGCCTCCAGCCGTTATTTCTCCTCCAAATGAAGAAAAAGAGCTGACAACTGAAATTCCTCTTCCTCCTCCAATAGAAGAGTTACCTCAATCGAAATCTGGCGAATACTACTCTAGTTATTACTCAGAAACAACTCAAGAAGATGAGGGAAACAACGAAGACTTGTATGAATCGAAATTGTCTTTCCTTCCTGGAGTTTCTCAGCCACTAATTGAAGAAGTAGAGAATCCGAAACCGAAAAAAGAAGAAAAGAAGATCTCACCTCCAAATCCGAGATTATTCGACTCGTTAATGCCACAAACTCCTCCTCACATCGACCAGAAACCATTCCAAAGACCTGTTTCTGTTTCTCCTACGCCGCCTACAATTGTCTCTCCTCCATCTATTTCTCCACCTGTCATTGTTCCTCCGACCATTCCAACTGTTGGAGTGCGACCTGTCGTAGTTCCTCCATCGATTGCAAAACCGAACATTCCACAACCATTTGTGCCTCCTGTCATCAACAAACCAAACATACCTTCGCCTTCTGTGCCTCAGCTTAACTCAGAGAGATTCTCTGTGCCAACAATACCTAAGAAAGATTAGGACCTTTATTCCTCGATCCTAAAGTACAAAGATCCTGATTTAATCGATATTAAATTTCAATTATCTTCTAAAACATTGTTTTTTAATCTTCAATTTTAGATGATACGATTCTACAATCTATATGTCCATCATTAAACGTACTCCTACTTCTCAATGATAGAGCAGATAATGGAATTATTAAAAAAAAATTGAGAGTGGGACAATTCTAGAAGTTAATGTTTCAAAAACAAAGCATAGCAATCTTTCTAATTCTTTTCTTCATCTTTAATGAAGTGATGGTTATGTATCCTATAACAAGAACCAAATTTGGATATGCATTGTGGGAAATTAACGTTAGATATAAAGCTCCCAAATCAAAGTTTATTTCTTTATTCAAGTTAAATCAAACTTTTACCAATAAAAGAAAGGATTTAGTACTGTTCTACGGAGAAAAAATGAAAGATTTCGTTCCCCAAATATTACCAATAACCGATTTTTTAAATGATCAATCTAATCACTTCCATGGCAATTTTGTACGTGCAAAAAATATGTACGTATCAGGAGGATATATCATAACAGACGGAATTACGATTTATCAACTACGAGACTGTACTGGAGCAGATTTTATGTTTAAAAATAATCCAGGTAGAGTGATTGGCCATTACACGGATGTTTTATTGGTCGGTCATGTAGCTACAAACATATTTGCACATTTTATCAATGAACTTATGAACCCGACTCTTCTCTTCCCTGAAGAAATCCGAAAAAAGTCGCATCTCGTAGTTAAAGGGCCTCCTAATATGTGGAAAGATATTACATCATTGTTCGGATTTGAAGGAAGAACAATTCTTCTTACAAATAGCGATTGGATATATTGCGAGAATCTTTATACGATAATTGAACCAAGTCCTCACGGAGGATTTTACGGACCTGCACTATATCACCTTCATGGACTTTTTAGAGAAAAATTTAATCTGACACATATAGTTCCGACCAAAATTGGGTTTTTGAATAGAAAAGGCAAGCTAAGGATCATATCTAACTATGATGTTTTAATTGAAGCCGCAAAAAAGAAATATCCAAAAGAAATCTTCTTTTCTATTCCAGATACGTTAGTAGCATTTGAAGCTGCTAAGACATATGCATCATGCAGAATACTTATGACAGTCACTGGCTCATCTTGTATCAATGTTATTTATATGGCTGAGAAAACATGTATAATTAAACTCACCAGCCCTACAGTTGATATGTGTAATATCATTGTGCCGAATTCTCTGAATATCTATCAAGTTAATCTGTATTATCCAACAATGTCAATGTATTCTCCATCAGTAACTGCTCTTGATATTAATGAGTCATTGAAAGCATTAGAATTGGCCTTTTATGTCACAGAACATAACAAATGGCCAACAATCAAAGAATTCAAATTTATTATGTAATTTATTTCTCATTTTTGTTATTTATATATATATATATATATATTAAAATCTATCTATTTGTAAATTCATAGAAAAATTGTGTTATAATAAGGATTTATAAGTAAAATATTAATTCAATTTGAAAAGAAGTAAACTCATTAATAGGAAATTGGCATGAACTATTATCATGGAGAACAATTCGTCTACAATTCAGTCATGTTCACTGCAAAGTTTCAACTTATTGGATGCGAACTCCCAAACTCAAAATATTTCCATCTCCTGTTTTTTTGTTACATTACTGCTGAATACCTCACAAACATTCTCCATTCCGGTGTATTGATAATGAAATGTTTTCAACCGAGTCACAATTGAATTTTTTTTTTTGATAGTTCTGTTTTTTATTTGAGGCGAACCTAAAAAATTAATAGCTGTGAACAAATTATCCGATATCAATTTTTTTAGAATCCATCTAAGGGTTGAAGTAATGATCTTAAATCCAAGAATTTCCAAGAAGAAGACTATATTTTCCTGAAAGAATCTACAAGGCAATATACCGCTGTTCAAATCAGTGATACTGCATTGAAAATTACAAGTTTAAATTACATCACGCATTAAAAAAAATTGTAAACCATTCAAAAATCGGTATTCATGTCAGTTACACTCAAAATTGAATTAAAGAGTTTCTTCATATGTCAGAAATTGAGACTCATCCATGACTCTATATGTATAACTTTATTAAACGACAAATTTTATACATAATTTCAGAAGATTCATGAATTTTGATTGATTCGACTATATGATGCTGTTGTTTATTAAAGTATTAAAAGAATTTGATAATGGGTATGGTAAATATATGCTGGAATGAGGAATTTATATAAAAGTAGCTCTTTTGTGCATGTTTAGATGATGTTTATATAGATATTTGTTAATAATATAATGAAAAAAAGTAAACAAGTGGAAAATTTAAAACTAAACAGCATATATTTTACTTTTTATCATTGTTTACAGGTTCCACTGTGCGACTACCGACATCATTCCAATCACAACTCAAAACTGTACCATGCGATTCATAATAACTTTTCATAATAGCTCTTTTCTGTTCGTCTGTAGCATTAGCATATATTCCTTGAAGAAATTCACCAAAATCTTTTTCATGTTTTTCTTCTTCTTCTTCAACATCGACTTTTTGCCATTTTTGGTATAGTGGTTTTAATGTTTCTCCTTTGGCTTCTGCCTGAGGCCAGTTTTCTGTAACTTGTTTTTCGAAAGAAATTTCGATTTTCTTTGATCCGTTATCAATCTTTTTAGAATCAGGCTTGATTTCCTTAAAGAATTCCCATGACTTGACATATTCTTGTCCATCAACTGTTAATTTAACTGCAACTTGTTTTTCATTCGCAATTACATCGACCAACTCAACATTTTTGCCACCTTTATAGACAGTAACAGCTGCACTTTTGATTGTTTGGAATGAATCGTTTCTTAATGGAAAATCTGTCATAATTTTTTCCAGTTTACTAATTGTCGTCACTTTTTCTGTAAGAAAATTGTTCTGTCGCGTTTAAAATTGTTTTTTGGAAAATCGAATTCATCAAAAACAGATGAATTTTAATCCTCAATAAATTTTGAATTTAATTTGATACTTTTTTTCAATGATTTACAAAAAATGGTCTTATATAAAATTATGAATACCACTATAGAAGAATTCGGAACACTTATCAATGAATTTTCTGGATCTTCTGAACACTCAGCAGATGCCAGAATAGCCCTTGAAAATATGTTAAGTTCAAAGCCAGAACTCATTAATTTATGCTTAAATTATCTAAATTCTTCCGGACTGACAGAGACAAATATAACAAGCGCAATCACAGTTCTCATTAGAGCAATAACACCATTCTCTATGCAAGACTTAAATGAACTTAGAAACATTTTAAACGCTAACGAAGAATTTACACAATTTATGGTAGCAATTGCAGACAAATTAATGCACACCGAAGAAAGCTCTTCATTCCAGCACAATGGTGCTGCCTTATTTGCTCGTGTTTTTGGCTTAGAACCAGATTTATTAATTGGAAATCTCGAAGAAATCTGCGCTGATCTTGGAAACGTCTCATTTTCTATTAACATGACCTACATTACTGTTCTTGATGAATTATTTGCGTTAAGAAACATCCAGGAGTTTTTTGAAAAAGATAATCAACCTGTTATCCATATTTTCCAGCATCTTGCATCCAAAGTTGTCGATGTTGCCTCTTCTCCATCAGATTGTGAGATTGAACTCAGATATTACGCAATAAAGACATTAAACAACCTCCTTTACACCTGCAGAAACAAAAAGGTTCAAACACACTTCCTCGGCATCTTCGAAATCTTAATGACTCCAGAAAGAATCGAGTTTCTCTTCTCAATCCAAGAAGCCCAACTTTATACAGCAATTATGGAACTTATGACCACAATTGTGAAAGCATATTACCATACAAACAATAAAATCCTCAACAGCGTTGCTGATAAAGCAATCGGAAGGCTTCAATTTTTCATGAATCCATTTATCGCGGAACCACTTCTTATTACGCTTACTTTCTGGCGCGAAGTCATCAACTTCGAGTTCAGGACCCTTTTCAAGTACATTACAGAGTATATTCCCGATCACGCGGTCGAAATGACCAGAAAACAAGAGGGCAGCCACTTTTACTTCGAACCACACCTAGAAATTCTTACAGAGCTTTTCATACAGATCATGGTCAATTTGGACGTAAACGACCAAGATATCGAAGATCCGATCCAAAATGCTCCATCCATGATAGCTTGTGTCAATTTGAGTGGTATGTTCGCTTTAATACCAGATTACCTATTCGAAAGATTGAAAGAAATGTGCGATTCCATGATTAAACACGCAGATGAAGATTGGCGCAATATCCATACAGCGTTACTCATTATTTATGTCCTTACATCAAAGATAGCCGATCCGAAAGAGCACAATTGCGATATTGTCACTTCAAATCGAACTTACCAAGCAATTGAGACTTATATCACTACAAAGTTCGAATTTATGACAGGATCTGCTGTAACAACAAACCAGAGAGTCAGAGAAACAGCTCTGTACGCAATTTCCGTTGCTTTGTCAAGATATCCGAATATTATGAAATCTTTTGCGGAACCATTGTTCGTCATCAACCAAATTGTTGGCGCCTTTGGCCCTGACAATGGAACACTCGATCCGTCCACAGATCCAAGAATTATCCTCAGATGTTTGGCAATTATCCAAAATATTGCCGCCTGCTTCTCCACGATGACTTACAACCATCCATTCATGGAGCAGACAAATCTCCTCGACCAAATGATCGATCGCGTTAAAGCTATTCTCGAATTACCTCAAATGAAAGATGGAAACAACGTAACTCAAATCAAACACGCGTACGAAGCCATAAATACACTTATACTCCATGCTCCAAGACAGGAAGAGCATTTCAAGTCCTTGTTGTTCAAGTTTTGGGAAGAAGCTCCAAATAACTTCTTCGATCAGTCATTAAATCCTTTGGTAATGCATATGAGAGTTGCCGGTATCATTTCCAACATCACTTGTTTGATTACTCGTCTTCCAAACGATATTGATTATACTCCTATAGTTAATGGCATCATTGAGATGATAGATACACAGCTTGCACCTATTATCGAAGAATGCTTGCTTACTTTGACCTCAATTTTGGTCAGATTAGATCCAAATTCTGATCTTTTCGTTTCAAGTATCCAAACAATCATAGAAAAGATCCACGCGGCCTTGGATCTCAAGGAGACCAACTCTATTAACTCTGCTTGCACTCTTATCAATACTTTGTGGCAAAAAGTCGGACCACTCCTCGACGAATTTTTCAAAGGAATGGTCGACCACTTATTTGCCCTTATTTTCGATGAATCGATGCTTCCTGAGACAACTCCTCCACTTTTGATCGCATTATCCAACGTTTTGATGGGAATGGTACCTGCTGATCACAAGGAAAATCCATTTGTGGAAACTATCCTTAATGATGAAGAACTTCTCGGAAAATTCAGATCAATTATGACAAATTACAGAGATAACACTCAATTAAGCTCTGTTGACAAATCTAGCATTGATCAGGCCTCAGCAGTAATGACTAGTATCTGTGTGGCCTTCAGAGCTTACGCCAAACTTTGGTATAGAAAGGAAGCTCTTAATTTCGAATATCAAAACGAAAAAGGATCACTTATGGAACTTTCTAAGGTATCATCAATCATTGATAAGCTTGGATACTTAAGGAAAGAAACTTATGACGCTGCTTTAGATATGTATATGGAATTTTCTTATTCATGCACAAGAAAGAACAATACGGTACTAAATAGAAGAGTGAACTACAATGTCATTGAAAAGGCAATGAAGTATAAGTCATTATATGATAAGGCAAAGAATACAAAGAAGAAATTAGGAAATACTTAATTTTTTTAGTTATTATTTTTATTTGATTTTTATATATTTTGATTTCATATAAAGAGTAAAGGTGATTATTTAAATTTTTATTAGTTATTTCTTCGAATTTTTTTATCATCTCAAATTTATTTGACTTTTTCATCATTTATCTATAGTTAATAATATAATCCATCTGATAAATCAAATAATAATACCATAATTAATGAATTCTTTTATAATAATTGATTTCATATTTTTATTTTACATATAATTATCTATTTAATCTCCGAAATAATTATCTATACAAAATTTCAATAATATTGCTATCAATATTTTTTAATTTTGTTGATAATTATTCATTTTTTTATAATTCTCATTGGATTCGAAAGAATTCCAGTAAAATATTATTGTGATATAAAATTATAAATAATGGAATTAAAATCAATATACTACCCCAAACAAAAATATAATTGTATTGCTTGCATTTCGAGAATTGTTAAAAAGAAGTAAAAATAAAATCCTGTTTAGGATGTTGAGTAGTATATGGAGACATTTTAGTAAATAAATTTGCAAATTTTACTCAGCTTTTGGCTTTTCACGTTCCTCTTCAATTTCATTTTGCGCGATATCGAAGTATGCGTAAACTAAAAGGCCGATGATGAAAACAATCGGGAAGAAGTAAACAGACTTAGCATCTGAAGGCTTTTCTGCATAAACTGGAAGGAGGTTGAGGAGTAAAAGAATATAAAGGACGATAACATAAGCAGCAAGTCCGCCTATGAGTTTAAGGTGTGTTTTGAACCAAACTTTATAGTCACTGAATGTAACATCTACCATCTTTTTTTTTACCTAACTTTATTTTTTCTTCAAATTTACAAAAAAAGTTATTTTATCATCACAAAAATTTATCAACTCTCTTGCTTCGAATAAGGATATATCCCACAGATGATGCTACAAGCCTTCTAAGTGGGATCAATCAATCCAAATTCCTTACAATGCAATTAACTTCTAAAATATCAACTTCAAAGTTATGAATATAAGTGACACATGAGAGAAAATCTATCATTGACAAATTGAATAAGTAAGCTAAACCTGATCAAATTCATATATAAGTCAAATAATAAAATCATATTAATTATTTAAATATATTTGATGAGACTCTGATAGCTAGTCCTTTGTATATTTTTATTTTAAGAATATTTTATCATAACACAAAGTCAATGTCAATTTATTTAATAATGGAGAATATTCTTTTGTTTTATGGAAGTAATTATATGTAAAATTTTAAAACAACTCATTAGAAAAGCAAAATACGTGAATAATGTAAGGATAATTAAGTAATTTGAAGTATGAAATTTATATTGAATTGTTTTAGCGTAAAATAAAGTAATAATGTATTGGAAAGATGTGTGTTGTTTGAGATATTCTATATTAATATAAATTCTTTATTTAAAACATAAAATTATTGATTTGGTGCGGCAGCTTCTTCTCTTTTCTGAAGCTGTCCAGCACGGAGCAAAGATGTACCAGGAGCGAATATGGTTCTGCTTGTCAAAGCGCTGAATCCGGTGTTCATACTCGAAGCAATGCTAATTTTGTTGGATTTATTGAGAGGAAGCTTCGAAGGAACAGTTTCTTCTGGTAAAACTTGGAAATATGGGTGCATCAAAGCATCTGCAGCAGATATGCGCTTTGATGGATCAATTGTAATTAATTTAGATAGTAAATCGAGAGTATCGGTAGAGAAACCGCGGAATGTGGCTTCTAAAGGTGGAATTTGGTTTTGTGGTTTGATATCTTTAAATTGTTCATAACCTGGTAAATGATCGCATCCTGGCCATACCATTGGACCAAGAAGGTTTGTAATTCCTTGAACAACCTCTCCAAAAGTTCTTCCGGGGAATAATGGTCGACATAACAAAAGTTCGGCAAAAATGCATCCTGCAGTCCACATATCTAGTGCAGGACCGACTTGTTTTGCACCGTAAAGAAGTTCGGGTGGTTTATACCAAATTGTAACAGCATCGCCCATATCTGAGGAATCTGAAGGATAATCACAAGAATAACCAAAATCGATAAGCTTAAGTATACCACTCTCTGAAACTAGCATGTTTGCCGGCTTAAGATCTCGATGAAGAAGCCAGTTTTCGTGTAAATAATTCAATCCGCTGAAAAATTGACGCATAATGCATTTAATATCTGCTGCACTTAATGGTCTTTGATTAGGACCAGATTTAATCAAATCTAAAAGGCCAAACGGTACGTATTCTGTTGCAATATAAACAGTTCCTGCATTGACGAAAGCGCCAATATATCTAACTATATTTGGATGGTCCATTTCGCATAACTGTCGTAATTCTTGGATTGTTTGAGGATCTATTCCATCTTCGGCACCACGAATTTTGACTTTTTTAAGAACAACAATTTCTTTTGTATCAAGATTACGAGCAAGATAGGCAACACCGAATGTACCTTCACCAAGTGTCTTAAGAAGTCTATAATGGTTGCCTTCTGTTCCAATACTTCGACTCATAATTTTTTTGTCAAATTTGAGGAAACATTTGATTTCAGCCAATATTGGCGTGCAGCGCAGTATAGGTATTTATTTTTATTGATAATTCTCAATCCGTCTTTGGAGTGTGTATCTATATATTGTCCATGCATCTCCCTATCATCTTATATTTTATCTTCGTTTTTAATTCTATCATTTTAAGGGTTTTCTCAACATTGAATCAGCTAGATTCCTTGCACCAAAGTGGTATTATCCTTCTAAACATTTATATTTCAAGAGAATAAAAAAGATATTGATTATTATGAAGCTTATAAAGCTTGTTACTTTTATTTAATTTCTAGCAATTATATTTACATGTATATTTAGATTGTGTTTAGAAATATTCATATTAATTTTGTTATATAGAAAACATTTATACTACAAAAACAAAAATTCTATTCTTCGTCAGATTCATGATTAGCAGGATCTGCTTCAAAGCGTGCATCATCACCAATCTCTCCTAATACGTCTAATAATTCGTCAATTTTGTCATATCTATTCACAGCTTGAGGGAGAAGTCTTGCAGATTCATCTTTGCTTTCTCCTGTCTGGAATATGGTCTGGAATAATGCATAAGCACCTATAAATGAAATCTCGAGAGTTTCGGATAAAATTGACTCTCTGAAATCATCATTGAAGTTTCTAAGTATCTTCATAAGATAGGCAACTGATAATGAGATCATTCCGCTCATAATATGTATCGTAAGTGCAAATTTACCGGAAGTACTGCCTGCCTTAAACAAAAACCATGTGGATAAGACAGGAACAACCAAAAATCCGCACATTCCGAATAAAAACATGAAATTCGGAAAAGAATACCTACATAATCCCTGAAAAACTGTAGTAAATAGTAAAATAACTGATGGCGCTATCATCACATTCCGATAAAATGTATATTGCGTGCGTACTAATGGTGCGTATTCAGCAAATAATTCGGCCGAAGCTCTCCACCATCCAAGAGCCGAGATAATGTTATGTATTATAGATATACTTGGTATGAAGTTATAGATTAATTGGATTGGATCGAGAATTAATAAACATGAAATTTGAGTAATCAATGTAGAGCGCATAATAGAAAAATTCTTGTTATGCGAGAATAGTAGGTAAAATGTAACACCTACTATACCCAAAAATATGATTCTGAAGAAGATAACTGTAAACGAAAACAATGGTTGATTTCGTTTTAGCCAAAAACCGCACTTCTCATTGCGCGGCCATACTTCTACCGTCATATCTTTGCAAAGCGTAAGTAATCCAATGTTGTACTCGCTTGTTAAAGAGATTATATTATCATTAATTTTGGCTTCTTCACCACACAATATAGATAAATATGATGTGTTATCAACGAGAGGGTAAGATTCGATGAAAACAGGTAACGAAATGAATGATATGTTGCTAACTTTAATTGAATAACCTCGATTTGTTGGAGTAAAGGGTAAAGCTTGAATTTTAGGGCCCATTAAATAGGCACCTGCATTGAATAGGATAAGGCCTGCTAGAAATGCGACAACTAATATAACTAATGAACGAAGTTTCCACTGAGTCATGGAAACTTTTGAATTTTCTTAGGAGGATAAAAAAAATTTCTGAAAATTCGTATATTTGAAAAAAAAAGCACTTCAGATCACTTTTTCTCTCACATTTGGAGAACCAAACTCAACGCATAGGTTATATATACGGTTGTTAGGTTGCTGACAAGGTTTGGTCGATTTTGTTTTAAGAACTTATGAGATAATGCATGTTTAAATTTGGGTTCTATTTTTTCATTCATTATATGTAAATCGTACAAAAACTTGCTGCTGTTTCAAGGGAACAAATGATAAATTATTCTTTCTATTGCGTTATTATCTCATAGATGTATAATTTAAAGATAATTTTTGAAATCAGAGCTTCAAAATCCGATATATTCTTTCCACCCTTCAAAACCAAGCGAAAACTATGTGAAATATTTATTGTAATACCATTGCATTACGAAGTATTCTTTGATATATGTCTGTATATCCTGATTTATTATGAATAAATAAAATAAATTAATAATGCGTTAATATATGAAGCTGAAACAATTATTCCCGTTTAAGAATGTATTATAGAGGGTATCTCCGATTTCAAAAATTTTTCATTTTTATTTTTTTGAATAATATTTTTTAATTTTTCAACTTATTTTTTTTCTTTTTCTTATTTTTTTTTTTTTGAAATAAAAAAGTCAATTTATATTCAAAATGAAGATAGAAACATTAATACACATAATTTCAGACTTCAGGTTTCGCAATTATTGTAGCAATGTTAATCATTTCTAATAGAATTTTTGTTGTATTGTAGAAAATTTTGCTTATTTATTTGCATATTATAGATCACTCATACAAATATTAAGGTTGGATATGAAAAAAAGTTGATTCATTCAGAGAGAGGGTCAAAGTTGCTATTTGTCACTTTTCCACAAGAATATAAGGGGAAAAAGTTATCATATAGTTGATCTCATTCACTGAGGTGAGAGATGCATGTAGTGTAATGTGATAAACAGTGGGATTTCTGCTCTAAGTCCTAGGTTCGAGACATATTGATTTCATTTTTCTCTTTTTTATTGACGTAAACTATTCAATTTTTGTGTTCTCCATTCAAATTTCAGAATTTTTTTTGCAGATTTCACGCTACATTCGAAGTTACCTTTTGTAACAACCACCACCGCCTACGAAAGACGAAAGTGTGTCACGATTTCACCCGGAAATCCGACGGTTGTTTAAGAGTAAGCACTTTTGGCACATACTCGATTCATTCATAAATTTAGTTCCATGATTCAACTTTAGCGTTTTATATATATATTGAACATAATATAATCATGACAATGATATGTAGAAACAAATTATGATGAGTAGGTGCCAAAAGTGCTTACTCTTAAACAACCGTCGGATTTCCGGGTGAAATCGTGACACACTTTCGTCTTTCGTAGGCGGTGGTGGTTGTTACAAAAGGTAACTTCGAATGTAGCGTGAAATCTGCAAAAAAAATTCTGAAATTTGAATGGAGAACACAAAAATTGAATAGTTTACGTCAATAAAAAAGAGAAAAATGAAATCAATATGTCTCGAACCTAGGACTTAGAGCAGAAATCCCACTGTTTATCACATTACACTACATGCATCTCTCACCTCAGTGAATGAGATCAACTATATGATAACTTTTTCCCCTTATATTCTTGTGGAAAAGTGACAAATAGCAACTTTGACCCTCTCTCTCCATGATTCAACTTTAGCGTTTTATATATATATTGAACATAATATAATCATGACAATGATATGTAGAAACAAATTATGATATGTTTAATGAATAGAAAAGAAATGAAATCATGAGTTTTAAGATATATAAATATCCAATCATAGAAATTGATTACATTATATACGGGAATAAATTCCTCCCATGTTAGATTTTCGGACAATATACGAATCTCAAAAACCTTAGAATTAGATTTTTGAATTATTGATATTTATTTCCACAATTTACATGAACGTAATAAAAACAAGAAATTAAAGACGGATCCTATCGTAAAAAAGTCTAATGAAACAATAACACTATTTTGGGTGAAATACTACTTGAGAACCTCTTGGGATAGCTGGTATGCGATGTCTGGCATTTTAAACTTTTGGGGGCTGAAAAACATAAATTACTAGAACTTCTTTTCTGGTTTTACAATTAATGGATTTGGCATGTTGTTGAATTGCATCTTGCGAAAAGGCAATATTGGAATCTTCACACCATTTGTTAACTCGACCGAGATAGAATGATTGGATAAATACTGTTGGATTTCATTAAAGTGAACGTTGGCCCAGAAAAAGCAAGTCTTTTTACGTCGATAGCATTCTCTTCCAAAAGCTTGGGATATCATTTCTGAAAGGAGCATGCAAACTGATCGTACAAGATCATGACTAATTTTTTCGCCGAATAAAGAAACAAACCAATTGTATGCTTCAGATGATTTAAGCTTGAAATTTTGTGATTTCATTGTTTCCATCACAGATTGCTCAAGTTCAATCTCGCTGCATTTTTCACTCTTCATCATCATTTTATTTTTTGACTTTAAGTTTTATCGTTACAATATTAAGTTTTTGTTAAAACTGTTCCATATTAAGTTCTGTCAAAATGTAAGCTATTCAATTCTATCGTCGGGGGAAGTATCACAAATCTATCAATTTTTTTGTAAAAGTATACAAAAACATATGGTGTTCAATTAGTTTATAATAATATAAATATTAAGATTATCAAAAATAAGAAAAACTAGGTTTTGAGAACACTTTTGAGATGATAATCAAAATATTTTGATTGAAAAATAATATATTATTTATCAGATCTAGAATGAATTTTTTCAAATTTAAAAATTCTGAAAAATAAACAGTTTTGTAAAGTAAAAAAAATGAACGAAAACTCGAGACCTCGTATTCCAAATGAATGGGTAAGATATATGTATGAAAAACTTGAAAGTGGTGAGTTAACTTACGCAACAGTTTTGAAACAATCATTTGGAGAAAGTTTCCCAGCTATCTACTGGGAACTAAAGGCTATGAGGCACTAGTATATAATCAGTGCCTCATAGCCTTTAGTTTGTTATTAAAAACGAGAAAACTTGTTCGAAATGATAAACAATTTCGAACAAGTTTTCTCACTTCAGCGAGGGAATTGTTCCTTATGATGCATACATTATAAATATATACATCATAAGGAACAATTCCCTCTAGATAGCTGGGAAACTTTCTCTAAATAACTTATCATTTGGAGAAAGTTTCCCAGCTATCTACTGGGAACTAAAGGCTATGAGGCACTAGTATATAATCAGTGCCTCATAGCCTTTAGTTTGTTATTAAAAACGAGAAAACTTGTTCGAAATGATAAACAATTTCGAACAAGTTTTCTCACTTCAGCGAGGGAATTGTTCCTTATGATGCATACATTATAAATATATACATCATAAGGAACAATTCCCTCTAGATAGCTAGGAAACCCTAAATTAACTATTAATCTTTGAGATATTTTTTATTGAGGTTAATACGTTTTTCTAAATAATTAAAATGTAAAATTTTGATTATGAACTCATCTCTAATATTTTGGCTCTTTAATATATTTGAATCATGATCTTTGAGAAGAGTTCTCAAAAGTATTCACAAAAGCTATTTTTCCTTGAAATTTAAAAATCCTGTTTATCATATATTACCGAATTCAATTCCCTACATATTTCAAAATATTCTATGAACATTTCAATTTTTGAAAAAAAACATATTTTTTCCAAATATATTTATTATCATATTTCTAATAATATTTCCTAAAGCGTCACTTTTTACTTCCTCGACGATTATTTCCCTCTCAAAAAATTCAATAGCTTACATTTTGACAGAACTTAATATGTAACAAAACTAACACTGCTGTGTATTAGAATCATTGTGCAATTTAAGTCAAAAATTCAATGATGTGAAAAAAGATATTTGAATAGTTTACATTTTTCGAGTATGCTATACTCAATCTCTTGTTTCTAAGTTTCAACTAATCTTTTCTCGACAAATTGAATACAAAAAAGTCAGTTAAGTTGAAATCAAATTAGTCAAAAATATCGAATCTAATAAAGCTATGTGAAATGATCACTAATAGAACAATTGTTGCATGCTAAGCTCGGTCAAAATGTAAACCTCTCAATTTTATCGTCGGGGAAAGTAACTCAATTCCTTCAAAATTATTCTTTAAATATTGAATTTAAAGTTATTTAATTTGGATTATAAATAAATAGGCTAATACAATATTTAAAAATGAGAAAAAAATAACTTTTCAAAGAACTTTTCATAATCTCAAAGAAAATTATTTATTCAATAATTATATAAATTAATTAACATTCATAATGGAATTGGATTTTTTTTATAAAAAATTGGTCCTACTTAACTTTTTGAGAGAATTTGGCTTTTCATTTTTATTATGAGTAGACCAACCATTCCTTCTTGGTGGTTAATTCAAACACGCGAAAAACTTGAATCTCGCGAACTCAATTATTTAATTGCGTGTAAGCGAGTTCCATACGAGGATGAAATGAAGTGTGAATTTAGATCAATTTCGAAAAACACACTTAAAGCAGCATACACAAATGCAAATTTAACACCCCCAAACGTTAAACCTGGTCCGGCACCAGATGATATTACTCCTGAAAATTTGCAATATGTTCTCCAAAAATTTCAGGAATATAAGTGCGGAATCCAAAAGATGTTTTGGCGTTTAAACATGGATCAAAATGTTTATTCAGTTTCCTACAATAAACTCAGAAGAATTTACAGTATTTTGGAGATCAAAGAACCAAAAAGTGACAGACCCCCTCAAAAATATTATACGCCATATGAAGCAACAAAACCTGATACCATATGGCATGTAGATGTTCATTTTTTATACGGTTCACAGAGGTTACCTGTTTATGGTATAATAGACGATAAATCTCGGTTTTTGTTGGCTTTAAAAATTTTGCCAAATAAATCTTCCGAATCTACAACAAGAGTTGCCGAAGAAACGATTGGCTTATATCAAAAGCCATTTTGTTTCTGGTCCGACAACGGGGGAGAGAATATGGGCCAATTTTATAATTGGCTCATGCGAAACAACATTCAAATCCGCCACACTCGCCCCCATATGCCGCGCCAGAACGGCAAGATTGAAAGGCTCTGGCCGTCTCTTGAAAGAAATGTCGGCCGGTCTTCAAATGCAAAACAAATTCAAGAATTTCTTGATAAATTCAGGAAAAATTACAACTCAGTACCACATAAAACCCTTCCCAAAAAGGGTTTTCGCCCCATGACTCCAGAAGAGTGTTACAATGAGACACCACATTGGAAACAGGGTGAAACGCCATTTTGGAGAGTTATGATTGATGGACACTTCGAAATCAAAGAAATACCGAACCATTGAATACACAATTACGAATAAACGCTTAAGGATACCCTTACATTGCGTAGTTAGAAAGAGAATATGATATTGTCATGATTGCTAAAGTTTTAGGCTCCAGAAATGAATATACATCAAACTGAAACAATTGATAAATTGAATGAACTTTTGAGAGGTTCTCAAATAAAAAAAATTATCTAATTTTTTACAATATTACTATTATTTTATCCACATATGTATATATAGTAATTTGAGAAAACTTTTAGGAAAAAATAAGTTTAATAAAAATCTGAATTTTACTTGTTGTGGGATTGTTATTAATTGACACTCCAGACGTATTACTAATAGTTATGCGTATGCAATTAAAGTATTTCTGATGGACAAAATGTGAGATTTATATCAGATAATTCATTTCTACTATTAAGTTATTCATTTATGAGTTTGCACTTATTCGCACTAAATAAATAACTATTAAAAATTGTTTTAATTAATTGACACCATATAATAGAGTGAATTTTGTTTGATCAAACAACAATAGATGATAGATATAAAGCCAAGAAACTTGCTATTAATATGCTCTACTTGCTATTTCAATGTAAGTATGATATTTTCTAAATGTTTCGTTCAGATAACTTAGATATATTAGTCAAAATTTGAAATTTTAATAGCACATATATTAAAAATAATTATTATTCATAAAAGATTAATGAAATAGTAAAAAAATCAATCAAATTATAAAAATACAACATTTAGAAGAATTCTTATTATCCTTCAAAAAGTCAGTATTTCTGCTGTAATTTTCTACAACATTGTAGTTATTGCACTTTGTCTATGGATTTGTATATATGTTATATATAAATTATATATCTAAACTGCCCATAAGTGCAATTTTTATATAAATTGTTTATTTCTTTAACAATTTCATATGAAATATGCTTTTTTAAGCGTATCAAAGCTGTGTTCTTAATGTGCATGGATATATCAAGAAAAATGTCGAAAAAAAATGTGAATTCACAAATTCACTGAATTTTCACCGTTTTTTGAATTTTGCTACAGCACTAATATTAAATAATACTAAAATCTTCTGTCTTTGTAAAAGAATAAATTCTGACAAAAAGTGCTCGTTTAAATTTAATGATCATCTGTATGACTAAGTGGTAAAAAGTGTTTATGACCAAAAAAGGGTTACATGCTTAGTCTATTTTTCTGACAGGATACTCTAGATTTACATGATCTCTATTTCATATCTCCGTTTTTAGATTCTTCGACAGATTTTATGATAGAAAACCAAGATTAACAAATTTCCGCATGTTAATGAAGAAATCTGCAGCTATCCTCAATATTATTTCAATAATCAGTATCGTTTCTCTTACAATTTATTTTTTTCTCAATAATTTAACAAGAAATAACAATACACACTTGGTTTTACGTATAAAAGCTAAGTGTCGAACTTAATCAACTTTACTTACTTAGCAAATGAATATTTTTGTGGTTGCGAGTTCTGAATGCTGAAGTTTTAGATTTCTCTATAAATGATATCATTGCACTTACAATGTTGTTCCAGCCTATCGCATAAATCATAGAAAATCCAAAAAAAAAATAATATAAAGAAAATTCATGTCATGAAGTTCAAAAAATACCGTGTAACATTAAAATTTGTTATGCATAATACATTTTAGCTATTATTGATTTTTTTTAATTTTCGAGAAATTGAATGGTGAGTCCGATAGAGAAATTTTTAAAAATCCTAGTGCCTCATAGAAGTAATTTCCCTCGTCTCCCATACTTCCAAATGTATGCATATGACATAAACTTTTATGCATTACACAAGTGGCCAATAATATCTATAGAGTAAAAAATTAGAAATTTAATTTTTTTATATGATAGTTATATTTCAGATTTGCGAGCGTAACTTTTTTCTCCATGGCATACTTGTTTTAAGAGCAAATGATCAAAATCGTCCTTCAATTATTGAAGGAGCTGATATCTTTTGAAAATTGAATTGAAAGGGTATTCAATTTCAAATTTCCTCTCAATTTTGGAAACATATCAACTCTATGAATTAACAATTATGTGCCTTCACAGTTTATCAGTCATATAAGGTGCTTATAAAGAAAAAAGTTACGCTCGCAAAATATGTTTTTATATAGATTTCACATAAAATAATTATGTAATTTCTAAAAAGAATATTTTTGTTCTTGAATATTAAAGTGTATTGTAGTTTAAAAAGTTTTAAATATGTTGCTAAAATTTCAGGTTTATAGCTCATGTCTAGCATGACTTCTTCGTATGCGCAAAAAATCTGACACGTAAGGGTATCCTTAATTTTTATAAAAATCTTATTACATTTTTCCTGAATTTTTAAATTGTACAATAAAGATGGAAGGCTTTGGGGTACATATTAATATAATATACCTCAAAGCCTTCCATCTCCACTACAAATGGGAGAAACTTTGTCCGAATAGTTTAACATTCGGACAAAGTTTCTCCCATTTAAAGAAAGAATTGTTCCTTATGAGGTATATATTCATACTGTATACCTCATAAGGAACAATCCCCTCCTTAAAACGAGAAAACTTGTTCGAAATTGTTTATCATTTCGAACAAGTTTTCTCGTTTTTAATAAGAAACTAAAGGCTATGAGGCACTGATTATATAGGGTGTCCAAAGGTGCGTTTAGCACAGCGCTCTATATGAGACTATTAAAGGAGATATATGCTGATTATAAATATATAATAAAAAATATGAATATATGTATATGATGAGTATGTTGTATTTTGGCGCCATGCCGGGATATAAAATGAATTTTGAGACAAGAGGCGGTTTCGCAGGAAATTTTGGCGGGATTTTTTTCATTTTTTTAATGAATCATAAAGAAAACATCCTCGCTCTTGCAAAAAAATGCAAAGACTGTAAAAAATCTACGAGACATTGGTAAAATGCTTCGGTATGGATGCTCCTAGCTATTCCACTGTAACGTATCATGTTAGGATGTATCACTTCATGAACAAAAAGGCGCCCATCATAAAAATTGACAAAAAATTGCCGGATCAAAGAAAAATCAAAGCAATTCTTCAAGTGCTAGATGAAGACCCAAGAGCATCACTCAGAAGGATAGAGGAGATGACAAAGATACCACGTACAACAGTCAGTTATTATCTGCACAATTATTTGAACTACAAACTAGCGTATACACGTTGGGTTCCGCACAACCTTAATTCAGTTCAAAAAAAATCTAGAGTCCAATCTTCGAAAGAGCTCCTCTCTATATTGGGTGCGTATCAATCCAAGAAGTTTCGCTTTTTAGTAACAGGGGACGAGTCTTGGTTTCAATATGCAACAGAAGCCAAAATCATGTGGATCCCGAAGGATGAAAATCCGCAAACATTCCCGAAGAAAAAAATTGACACACCAATGATGATGTTGTCGGTTTTTTGGGGCGTGAATGGCATCATCGCAATTGATATTCTTCAAAAACCTAATACGATGAATGCTCAGTATCTAATTGACAATGTTCTTACTCAAATTATCAATTCTGATGAGTTTGAGAAATCCAAACAACAAAAACAAAAGTTTGCAATTCATTTTGATAATTCAAGAGTTCACAAAAGTCATAAGGTAATGAATTACTTGGTGGAAAACAATGTCAAAGTTGTTCCAAACCCAATTTATTCACATGATATTGCACCCTCTGACTTTTATTTATTCGGCACGCTAAAAAAGAGAGCTGAAGGACGCGAATTCGCGAGTCCAGATGATCTTGAAAATTTTGTAAGAGAGCAATTTGAGCAATTTTCTCATGATGATTTAAAGCGTGTCTTTCAAGCCTGGATCGATCGCTGCGAACGCGTGATTGAATCCAATGGTGATTATATTTAAATAAACTTTATATATATGTAACTTGTTTATTTCTATTCGCAGTATTCAGGTTTGTGCTAAACACACCTTTGGACACCCTATATATTAGTGCCTCACAGCCTTTAGTTTCTAATAGATAGCTGGGAAACTTTCTCCAAATGATAAGTTATTCAGAGAAAGTTTCCCAGCTATCAAGAGGGAATTGTTCCTTATGAGGTATATAGTTATAATGTATACCTCATAAGGAACAATTCCCTCATTAAAATCGTAGATATTTTTTACTTTTACTCATGCTTTCAAAATCACAATCCTCTGAAAAGTTATTTTTTATTAAGAATTTAGAATTTTGATAAATCCTTTTTTCAATTTGATATAATACTTATATATTTTCAAAAGACATTTTGAAAAGATATCTCAAAGTTCTCTGAAAACCTATTTTTGATTAATTTTGAGAAATATCCGTATTAAATTAATCAATAAATTCATTAACACTACTTTAATTTTTAAATTCAAAAAATTATATGTGCTTCTTAAAATGTCTCAAAAAATTTTATTATAAAATTATATACAATATTAAAAATCCCACAACATTTTTTTACTTTACATAATCGTACTTCCTCGACGATTAATTTCCCCTCAATTCCTATCGTTGACCGAACTTAGCATGCAACAAAAATAGGTTTTCAGAGAACTTTTGAGATATCTTTTCAAAATGTCTTTTTTGAAAATATTATAAGTATTATATCAAATTGAAAAAAAGGATTTATCAAAATTCTAAATTCTTAATAAAAATAACTTTTCAGAGGATTGTGATTTTGAAAGCATGAGTAATAAGTAAAAAATATCTACGATTTTAATGAGGGAATTGTTCCTTATGAGGTATACATTTATAACTATATCCTCATAAGGAACAATTCCCTCTTGATAGCTGGGAAACTTTCTCTGAAATAACTTATCATTTGGAGAAAGTTTCCCAGCTATCTATTAGAAACTAAAGGCTGTGAGGCACTAATATATAATCAGTGCCTCATAGCCTTTAGTTTCTTATTAAAACGAGAAAACTTGTTTCGAAATGATAAACAATTTCGAACAAGTTTTCTCGTTTTAAGGAGGGGATTGTTCCTTATGAGGTATACAGTATGAATTATACCTCATAAGGAACAATTCTTTCTTTAAATGGAGAAACTTTGTCGAATGTTAAACTATTCGGACAAAGTTTCTCCCATTTGTAGTGGAGATGGAAGGCTTTGAGGTATATTATATTAAATTGTACCCCAAAGCCTTCTATCTCCACTTGAAAGTTCCAAACTTTGGGTTAATTGCAAGACATTAACCTAAAAGTTTTGGAATTTCTAGAAGGAATTGCAGGGTAAGAGGTATATATTCATACTATGTACCTCTTACCCTGCAATTCCTTCTTAAAATGGGGAGAAACTTTGTCCGAATTTAACTATTCGGACAAAGTTTCTCCCATTTGTGTAGTGGAGATGGAAGGCTTTGAGGTATATTATATTAATATGTACCCCAAAGCCTTCCATCTTTATTGCACAATTTAAAAATTCAGGAAAAATGTAATAAGATTTTTATAAAAATTAAGCGTTTATTCGTAATTGTGTATTCAATGGTTCGGTATTTCTTTGATTTCGAAGTGTCCATCAATCATAACTCTCCAAAATGGCGTTTCACCCTGTTTCCAATGTGGTGTCTCATTGTAACACTCTTCTGGAGTCATGGGGCGAAAACCCTCTTTGGGAAGGGTTTTATGTGGTACTGAGTTGTAATTTTTCCTGAATTTATCAAGAAATTCTTGAATTTGTTTTGCATTTGAAGACCGGCCGACATTTCTTTCAAGAGACGGCCAGAGCCTTTCAATCTTGCCGTTCTGGCGCGGCATATGGGGGCGAGTGTGGCGGATTTGAATGTTGTTTCGCAAGTTAGTATGGCTAAGTCGTGTACTGAGGCACTGCGCGCCTCCGTACACCACTTAGCGGTTTTGACACTTTACAAAATCGTTAACGTATATTTTACAACACAAACGACAACACTAACTTAACCTTAAATATTTACAAAGCCGCCAACCACTTCACCTCACTACTGTAAAAAAATAAACGTTCTCACTTACAAAAGTATTGCAACTTCTCCCATTGCTGTGCTTCACATAACAGTTCATATTCTTCTGACTCACTTTCTTCTTCATATAGGTCAAAATCACTGTCAAAATGAATGTTAGTAAGTTTTGACAAAGCTAATGAAACACGCTTACCGTTTGTATCTATTGCTTTTATATATCTCCCATTATGTTTGTTGTCATAAACGCTCAAACTAACTTTACCCTTTCTCCCTCGTATCTGATAGAATGTATTTTCACGAGGAACGAAGAACAAATTCTTGAACTCATGACCGTTGTAGTTTGTTATCTCAATAGTTTTCGTCATTTATATAAAAATAAAATAAAAAATAAAATAAAAAATAAACTTAAAAATTAATGATATCACCACTCCCACACGTATGAAAACATAGCACAAAAATAAATTTAGGTGAAGTGGTGAAATCTCACCTCTTTTTTCACCTGTTTTTCACCCTGTTGAATTCATTGCTTTATAACTCTCTTCCTTGGTTTCTTTTTAGTTGCTTTCTTCACGTCCGTCTCCAACTTGACTGTCTTTCTTCTTCGGCCGTAATGATACCAGTTACTTCCACCAGTCAATGGGTCAAATGGTCTTTCGTAAGGGTTTCCATACATTCCATAGGGACCATACGGAAGAACTACTGGTGGAGAAGAAACATTTTCTTTAGTTCCATCGAATCTATTTAAATGCATTGTTTCACCTTTCATCTGGTCATTAAAGTCTTTTGCGTGTTTTGCAAACTCATCGTCCTTTCCTAAAGCATTTTCTGACTCAGTCGCAACCAAATTGGATGCTTTATTTATGAGCCCTATTTTATTTAATCTTAACTTCTTTGCAACCCAGCCTCCAATCTTCCCTTTATTTGCATCTAATGTCTTCGAAACCCTTCCTCCACTCATTTTATTTACTGCGTCATAAGCTCCAAGTGCTTTTGCTCCAAATGCTAATGCTTTTGTTCCCATTGCGCCTAAAGCTGCCCAAGCTACCATTTACACCATATTAAAATCATCTCTCTTCAATATTATCTCATAAAAGTTCTCGTTACTGGAGAAAGTCAATGAAACATAAACGTTCTCACGGGCTTCGCCCTCACCGCTTTGCGGTCTATCTAACTTCTTTCTTATATCATCTATACGCTTCAAAATGTCTGAACAATTGCTAACATCTTCTACAACAGTTATTTCATCATGAATGACCTTCAAGAACAAGCTCATTTAATATGCAATTAAAATCATTTCAATAATGAGTCCATCCTTTCCATCTTTAGGTAGCACAACATCTTTCATTGAAGAAGGTTCGACAAGTCTTATGTTAAACTTACTGACAAAGTTTGTTATACTATAATGCTTTGGCGGCGAATACATATAGTTTGAAAGACATAATATAGATTCTTCAGCAAATTCACTTATACTGGATTTTATAACAATGTTCTCACGAGACCAAATGCCACCAATTGACAATCTTGTAAGCAATCCTGCTGAACCTTCAACTGTAAACGTCGATGGTAACATTCCACGAAGGTCATCTATTGACATCTTTGAGTCACTGAATTTAAAGATTTTCTTAAAGCAATCGTCATTATCTAACCATGCAATAGCTTTGAAGTTTTCATTCGAATATACATCTGCTTCATTAAATGTAAATCCTGACTTCTTTGCAGAGACGACTTTAAAATCTATTGAGTTTGTTTCAAAATTATATGCTATGGTAACTTCTGAAGGTAATGGATGTCCTTCCGCAGTCAGTTGTTCTCTCACTACCGTTTGAAGCTTTGTATTAAAAACTTTCATGTCATCTCCTGTGTCTAAGTTCACATACACAGCAACAGGGAAACTATCTTGCTTCTTTGTTTCATCATTATACCTCAAAACATTAAAGTTCTTCAATAATATTGTTCTTCCTGCTGGAATACTTCGAACCTGTCTGATTTCAATAGCTTTCTCACCTCCTACATACTCTACCCAGTGTCTTGGATATTCATAAGTATACTGACTTTCTTGAATTTTGGTTGGTTTCATCATAACATGTTCATAGTATATCTTTATACTCTTGTCAGTTAGACTCGGTGCTATGTTCTGAATATTTCTGACTTGCATTTTTAATGGAGATAAAATGAAGCATTTAATACATGATGTAGATGAAGACATGAATGAAACTACAGACAAACTTAACTCTTCTCTTATTCTTCCTTTCAGCAAAGATTATGAATTCTGTTCAAATGGTGTGTATTTCTATTGTGGAAAGATGGGTTCAGGTAAGACATTTAACCTCATTCGTCATATTCTTATAACAGAGCGTTTAGGAAACGACTCTTACTATGACCAAATCATTATATCAGCAACTTCAGACTCTATGGATTCAACAGCGAAAACATTTATGTCAAAAGTTCAAGCCTCTGTCGTTAAAGTTTCAGACAGTGAACTCATTGAATTTCTTCAACGTTACATTCGACGTAAGAGAAAATATTATGCCATCGTAGAGTTCATACAGTCAGGAATGCAAAAGACTTCTGAGGAGATGGAAAGAATTATTGACAAACACCACTTACGTCAATACTCAGGAGTATACAATATGAAACGACTTACAAATTACATTCTGTCAAAACTTTCAAAATACCCCTTCAAAAAATATCCTTCAAATACTTTGTTAGTTTGCGACGACTTCGCTGGAAAAGGTTTAGTGTCAAAGCCCGACTCACCATTAGCTAACATCATAACTAAAGTCAGACATTACCATTTAACTGTAGCAATACTTATGCAAACATGGAGGTTTTTAGCTTTAAACATAAAACGTCTCATAACTGACTTCGTTATCTTTCAAGGTTTCTCACGTTATGATATTGAACTCATTTGGAAACAGTCAGGTATAACATTACCTTTTGAAGAAATTTGGGAAGCATATAAGTCTCTCATCTCTCCTCGTTCATACCTTGAGATTCATATCATGACTAATACCATTAAAGTCAAAAATATTCCATGGAACGACCAACATTGTTTTAAAGTTTAACCTTCAATTGACTGATGGTAAACAAATTCCATGCATCTCTGTCGCCATTTCTGTTAATATTTTTGCTGTCATTCATATCATCCACTTCCCCATCCGTTAGCTTTTGAGGATATGCGTTAGAATAGCTGTTCTTAAATGAAGGCTTTTCACCTTTGAGAGCATAAACTCTATAACTTTCTGCATACTTTATGTTTGAACCTCCTGAGCCATCATTGACATAAATTTTTATAGGCTTCCGCCCTTTGTTCATGTTCCTGCTTCTTCCCTTAGCTCTTTTGTTCAGTAGTTCTACATCTTTATACACAGCACCTGTCTCAGTGAATTCAACAATATTTTCATTCGTTAGCTTTACATTCAAACCCTTGTCGAGTATATTGTTCATTTCATACATATAAAAGGTTTTTATTCTATATGAAATGAGAAGCAAATCCATCTTAGCTGGTGCCGTTAATGTTCCAATTGAACCAACATCAAATGTTGACTCACGAACGACAAACAATATTGTCATAAAGAACTATAGTTCAGAGTGTTTGAAAGAAAAAGAACCAGAACTTAAGTCGGTGAATTTTAAACTCAGCTTCAAACGCTAACGCTACATCAGATGTTAAGTTAGAGTATCCACCACTGGACCAAATTCTTTCAAGAGAAGCCAACGACAACCCTTACACAAATGTTCAAACAAATCCTTCAGATAACGTAGACCATTACCTTCTTCAGTTATACCAAACAATTTTACTCAAAGACGATAAGAAGCTTTTGACAAATCTTATAAGCAAGAACCAAATAATTCTAACAAAGGAGGACCTTGAAAATGCTATCTCACGAATAACAGGGAAACAATGTGTCATTGACTATCTCGACCCTGAAATCGAATGCTGTGGTCAAACTCCACTATTCATGAAAATAGGTAACATCCGCATCATTGAAACACCAGGAACTACAGGAGTTGAGTTTAAGTATAAATATTCGAACGAGTATACAAAACTTTCAACAGAATATAAACTTTGTTTGAAATATGTTTTAGTAAATTAAAGCAGTCAGGACCTTCGGTCTTGGCGCTTTGCGCCGTTAGTCAAAAAAATTTCAAGTTAGCAATTTATAATATCTATCCAAAACTTCTTCAACAGTATCGAACTCATCTTCATAATGCAAACCTAATCTTATTGACTTGGTGCAATTTTCACTAACACAATATAGCGCTTTGCGCTCGGCGCCTTTGACGCCTTTTTCTGTTCTTTGACCATAAACTAACTCATTTGTTTCATCAAACAGCAACAACCAAAGTTCATGACCTAATACATAACATTCATACTTTATATTTTTAGCTCTGAGTTCTCTTGTAAGCTGTTGCATTTAATATTTTCTAAAAAGTCAACTTCAACAGTCATTCGCACTGGTGCCTTCAGTTCTACAGGCTCTCCTTGAAAGTCAACAAGTCTGAATTGCATGTCTTTCAAATTATGAGGACTAATGCGAACCCATTTACCTAAATGAGTTGCTATGACAGGAACGTTTGGAATGAACATTGAATTTACTTCATAACAGAAAGACTTATATTCTACTGAACCTTTACTATTAACTTCTGAAATACCTGTGACATTAGCTATTTTTGACTCAATGTACAAACAATTGCCATAACATACGTATGGAACAGATTTCATCTCAATCGTTTTGTCAACACTTTTCAAAGGAAATGTCATATGGTATGCACCCAAAAGAAGTTGTACTCTATGACTCATTCTTGGTATCTTAAACTCTTTCTCGCTGCTGAACTTCAATGTTCCCTCAGAAGAGAGTTCGACATCTATGTTGTCAATAGTTTCTTCATTTATGAGAGTATCTATGACTCCAGCAATTTTATCTATTCTATACCCAGCTCTGTTAGGAAATGTTATAACACTTCTTTTGTCATCTATTTCAATCTCTATGAAATCTGTTTCATCTGTTATGACAAAAGTTGCGATAGTATTGAAGTCAACAACTCTGAAAGCAAGCGCTTCATTCTGAAGACCTAAGTTTGTTTGTAGCTTTACTGTCCCGTATTCGTTTGGGTCTGTACTTTGCAAATAGAACAACATTTTATTCTCATTAAAATATGACTATTGCTGCATATGCGTATGAAACAAATGAAGCAAGAAGAGCACATGAATTAGTAAACGAAAACTCAACTTTAACAGTGGAAGGCAATGATTTAGTCATTGACGATGGAAAAACTAAAAAAGTCATTGATTTCGATACTTTTAACACTTATGACCCATTCATTACAACAAGCAAGGTTCCTATCATAAATGATGGAACGGTGCAATATATAAATTCTACAATAGATGCCTCATTAGTGAAAGTATTAAATGTTCTCATTGAATTGTTAAAGAGCTTTCGATTTGACGACAACATTAAATGCCTAAAGAATTTAGTCATGAATAAGAAACAAATTCTCGGCGTTGCTGGTAGCAGTAATGATGTACACTTATGACATTAGAATATTATAACGAACATAAAGATGAACTGAAAGAGAGAAGGGTGACACCGGACCTCAAGGACCACAAGGAATACAAGGAATACAAGGAATACAAGGACCTCAAGGCGAAAACGGTTTGGATGGTGAAGATGGAAAGGATGGAAAAACTGCTAAATCATGGATATGGAACCTTATAAATACTGGTTTAACAGCTGCTTCATATGGAGTTCTTCAATACAAATCGGAAAGATATGGGCAGTACTTGGTGAAGAAGTTTTAGATGACGTTAAAAAATGCTTTGAACTTCATTTCAAATGGTTCGGATACTATTAAAACTTTATCTGGTTGGATGCAAGAAACAAGGAGTCAAATAGATACTGTAAGACGTATAGCAAACAATGCACGTACGGGATTGGATACTTTACGAGAAGCACAAAATACACTAAAGGAAGCAAATGATATTCTTGGCTCAGTATCAGACATGCATGAAGATTGGCTTAAAGGTATTGACGAATCTTTTAAAAAATCAAGTCAGTCTATTGCTGACTACAAAGAAAAGTATAGATTTTTTACATAGTGCTATGGACGTACATGATGGAAGCATAAGGAACTTACTTAATGCTAACAATAACTTACCAGGAACTATTAAAGCATTTATAAAGTCCTTTGTAAAACCTGGTGCTCTAACATTTAGGTCTTTGAGAGCAAGAGCATTGAAGTCAAGAGATGCAGAAACTCCAACAGAACCTACAGAAGGAACCGAAACAACAGAAACTCCAGAAGAACCACCAAAACCAACAGCTAATGAAATATTGTTCGAATATTTTCCAAGGTACTCTGTCCTCATTGCATACATTCAAGAAATACTTAAGAAAGCAGACTTGACTTTAGGAGATGATGAAAGTTCTGTATATCTTTGTTCCAGTTTCAAATAGCAGAACTTTTGAGACAGATATGCTTAATGTATGACAACATCTCTGATTTCACAAGATATGATGACGACCATGACCCCGAACACGGTGAAGAAGAAGTTTTACAACATCCATTAAGACAGGAAAGGTTTTAACTCAAAGTCTCATTATTGACACCAAAGATGGCGAAGTGGACGTTCTTCAAGAGCTGAAGAAAAATACTTCTGAAGGAGGTGGTGGTAGGCATGAACTTGAAATAAATGAGATAGAAGAGAAATTAGCCGAAAAAGCAGATAAAAACCATGTTCATTATATAAGTTCAGACGAACAGATTATAACGGACTACCATGGATATTTAACACAGGATGAAGAAGTGAAGACGAAAGATGTTAATGAAAGAAGATATAAATTCATTCGTGCTAAAGGTTATGGCATACACTGTACTGTACAGTATGACACAGGTAAAGCACAAGAAGCATTTGGTTATAACGATGAAATATACGCTTCATACTTCTTTGTTAACGATGTATTAGTTGAACCAAGATTTACATTGAGAGTTAAGGCAAAAATAACTTTTGAAGATGCTATTAAAAGTAAAGCTGACAAAGATAAACTTGACGCAACGAACAAAGTTTTGAAATCTCATAAACCAATATCTCCGATATAAATGAACTTCAAGCTACATTAAATAGTAAAGCTGACAAGAACCATACACATAAATCCTTCACTACTGTTAGAGCAGACGACATAATATTGAACTATACCCTTGGTTCAAGTGCACCTTTAGAGAATCCGAGTACAAGCGTAAAAGATACACTAAACTCCTTAAATAACAAATGTATGAATATCGAAGGTCATGTCAGAAACTTTGAAACACATGAACTACCAGCAATGTTAGATAAAAAAGCAGATAAAGAACATACACATAACTCCTTCTCAACTGTTGCTATAGAAAGTATTGAAGGAACGGTTGGCGGAACTGGTGGGGATGCATTATATTATAAACCTCCTAACTTTCCACAAGGTTTAACATCGAATGAAAACATAACAAACGAAGAAAGAAATTAGCTGTAAAAATGTTTATGTCATGGATGATGAAAATAATGTTAAATTCACTGCTCAAGATTTATATGATAAGAAAGCAGACAAAACAGAGCTTCAAACATTAAAGACTGAAATACTTCAAACATTATATATCCTGTTGGTTCTATTATACGTCAATGAACTCAACAAATCCAGAAACAGTTTTAGGTTTTGGTACGTGGAAGCAGATTGTAGATAAATTCTTATACTGTGCTAGATATTCAAAGCAAACAGGAGGTTCGAAGAAAATTAAAGAAGCAAACCTTCCACCGCACACTCATACAGGAACTACAAACTTTTCTGGCGACCATAGCCACTCATTAAGAGACCACCCATTATACAACTCAGAGTATGAAGCTGGCAATGACGTTTTATCTCCATCTTATAACAATGCAGCAAAAAGATTTTTCGACCAACTGAACCAGGAGGAAATCATTCACACACTTTCACAAAAATCCAACAGGCTCGGGTGCAGATTACATGCCACCATTTGTGACTGTATTTGCATGGTACCGCGTTCAATGAACGCGCTTGAGCCTAGAATAAAATCTTTAACTTTACATAAATGAGCTTGAAAGAAGTATTCGAACAACATCCGTGGAGGTCATTTAAGAAGTTCAATGAAGCTGCAAAGAGTTGGGGATTTACTAAACAGAGCTGAAGTGAAAAGGTTCTTTGACAAAAATGTTGTACATCAAACAAAAATAAACCCTTACGACTACTTTTTACCAATTCTCCAACACTCCTGACGCATACCAATTTGACACTCTCATTCAAAGCAGAAAAGGAGGTCATAAACCATTTTTGATTTTCATTAATGTTAACACTCGTAAAGCATATGCATATCCAATGAAAAATAAAGGAACTCGTGAAGTGTTAAGAGTTTTACAAAAGTTTGTAGCAGAACATAGCCCAAGTACTTTAACATCAGACCAAGACAGTGCATACCAGCAATGAAATCACATATTTTCTCATTAAGCATAACATAACTCACTACACTACTGAAGACCATAACCACAACATACTCGGCATCATAAACCGCTTCATAAGAACGCTCAGAGATTTAAATCAAGAGCGAGACTTTACCGAAGAAACAATGAAACACTTTCTCGAAGTATATAATTCCTCAACACATTCTACACAGGACATACACCAAATTCAATGACACAAACAACAGAAGAAAAGTATATACAAAAGAAACGAAGTCAAACACAAAATATCAGAATTCAACACAATTTACCCTCATTCCTGGTACAAAAGTTCGTGTAGTTCTTGACGACAAACCGTTGACAAAGAAACGTTAAGGTTAAGTAGAAACTATTATATCGTAGACTCTACGCAAGGTAATGGATATCTTATAAAAGCTGCTGACGACTCTATTGCGTTTTACCCTCGTCACAAATTAGTCGAAAGTAGTAATGGCAAACTTGCTGAAACCATTGACGAAGCAAAGCGAGGAGTGGTTATTGAAATACTTGGCTACAACATAAACGATGACACTTATAAAGTAAGATATGAAGGAGGCGTTGAAGATGTTATACCATCTAAGAACTTGAGAGAGTCAAAGTCAACACATCTGGGACCATTAGAGCGGGAGTACTGGAAAGACAAAAATATGCCAGAAAGAATAAGAAAATTCTTCTAAACTTTTTCATTAGATGTAAATCAGACATGAATGAGAACAGTCATGTATTAATGGTACCATTTATTTTAACATAAAGACGCAAAGCGGCGAGGACGAAGTCCATGACCAAAAATATAATTTAGGTGAAGAGGTGAGAATCTCACCTGTTTTTTCACCTCTTTTTTCACAAGCGTTTTACATGAATTACGATGTATATTTTGAAATCCTAAACAATTTCGTAGCTTCTATTTCTTTCTTTTAGTACATCGAATGTTTTAACAATGCCGAAGGTTTCTTTATACTTCTTCTTGACGTCAGACAGAAGGAAATCTTCTGCTGTTGGATAGTTTTTATTAAGAAATGCTAACATGTCCATTTTATTTTCTGCTGGTTTTTCTGCTTCTTTCTTTAAGTCTGCATAGTCGTTTCTCATTCGTTCTATCTCTTTGACTGAGTAGTTATATTTTCTTATTGCTGCTTTACATTTTGAACATTGCGGCATCGTTTTTGCGTTATACATTGAAATAAAACCAGCTAGAACAACTAAGGCGTCAATGGTTTTCTTTAACTCAAAAGCTGCTGGTTTTATCTGTTCATTCCATACTTTACCTCTTCTAGTCTTTATCTCTTATCTGCCATACACATTTTGCAACTAATGAAACAAAGTTATCGTATGTCTTAAATTCTTCGGATTTGTAAAGGTCAGAAATATTTTTATAAACCATGTCGCAATCTTTGTCCATAACTTTATGGTTGCAATGAAAACCAAGGAATTCATAATTTACTTTACGTATGATTTCTTAATTTCTACTGAGTCAGTTGCTTTGACTTCAATTTCGTCGAATTCAGGAATAGTTAGTTTTTGCTGCTGAATTTCAGGTAGTTTAGGCAAATGGTCGATGAGGTCCTCCATTTCATAAAGATACTGTTCATTTGTTTCATCTTTCGCACTACAGTCTAAATTACTTGTTAAAAGTTCTTGCTTTATCTTCTGGATTTCTGTTTCAAAAGTATATGAAGAAGGAATAAAGCTTTTCATCTCTACCAACATTGACGTAGGATTCATGACTAGCGAGTTTGGTGCTGTAGTTGTGGACAGAGTCCCGCCGTTCGTGGCTTGAATTGATGTTGTGCCGATTGTTGAAATCATATCTTTTATACAAAATAAAAAAATAAATAAAAATAAAACTAACTTTATTTTTTCTATCTTAAGGAAATTCATGAAAATTCACGAGGGTGAAAAAACAGGTGAAAAAACAGGTGAGATCTCACCTCTTCACCTAAATTATATTTTTGGTCATGGACTTCGTCCTCGCCGCTTTGCGTCTTTATGTTAAAATAAATGGTACCATTAATACATGACTGTTCTCATTCATGTCTGATTTACATCTAATGAAAAAGTTTAGAAGAATTTTCTTATTCTTTCTGGCATATTTTTGTCTTTCCAGTACTCCCGCTCTAATGGTCCCAGATGTGTTGACTTTGACTCTCTCAAGTTCTTAGATGGTATAACATCTTCAACGCCTCCTTCATATCTTACTTTATAAGTGTCATCGTTTATGTTGTAGCCAAGTATTTCAATAACCACTCCTCGCTTTGCTTCGTCAATGGTTTCAGCAAGTTTGCCATTACTACTTTCGACTAATTTGTGACGAGGGTAAAACGCAATAGAGTCGTCAGCAGCTTTTATAAGATATCCATTACCTTGCGTAGAGTCTACGATATAATAGTTTCTACTTAACCTTAAACGTTTCTTTGTCAACGGTTTGTCGTCAAGAACTACACGAACTTTTGTACCAGGAATGAGGGTAAATTGTGTTGAATTTCTGATATTTTGTGTTTGACTTCGTTTCTTTTGTATATACTTTTCTTCTTGTTGTTGTGTCATTGAATTTGGTGTATGTCCTGTTGTAGAATGTGTTGAGGAATTATATACTTCGAGAAAGTGTTTCATTGTTTCTTCGGTAAAGTCTCGCTCTTGATTTAAATCTCTGAGCGTTCTTATGAAGCGGTTTATGATGCCGAGTATGTTGTGGTTATGGTCTTCAGTAGTGTAGTGAGTTATGTTATGCTTAATGAGAAAATATGTGATTTCATTGCTGAGGTATGCACTGTCTTGGTCTGATGTTAAAGTACTTGGGCTATGTTCTGCTACAAACTTTTGTAAAACTCTTAACACTTCACGAGTTCCTTTATTTTTCATTGGATATGCATATGCTTTACGAGTGTTAACATTAATGAAAATCAAAAATGGTTTATGACCTCCTTTTCTGCTTTGAATGAGAGTGTCAAATTGGTATGCGTCAGGAGTGTTGGAGTAAATTGGTAAAAAGTAGTCGTAAGGGTTTATTTTTGTTTGATGTACAACATTTTTGTCAAAGAACCTTTTCACTTCAGCTCTGTTAGTAAATCCCCAACTCTTTGCAGCTTCATTGAACTTCTTAAATGACCTCCACGGATGTTGTTCGAATACTTCTTTCAAGCTCATTTATGTAAAGTTAAAGATTTTATTCTAGGCTCAAGCGCGTTCATTGAACGCGGTACCATGCAAATACAGTCACAAATGGTGGCATGTAATCTGCACCCGAGCCTGTTGGATTTGTTGTGAAAGTGTGTGAATGATTTCCTCCTGGTTCAGTTGGTCGAAAAATCTTTTTTGCTGCATTGTTATAAGATGGAGATAAAACGTCATTGCCAGCTTCATACTCTGAGTTGTATAATGGGTGGTCTCTTAATGAGTGGCTATGGTCGCCAGAAAAGTTTGTAGTTCCTGTATGAGTGTGCGGTGGAAGGTTTGCTTCTTTAATTTTCTTCGAACCTCCTGTTTGCTTTGAATATCTAGCACAGTATAAGAATTTATCTACAATCTGCTTCCACGTACCAAAACCTAAAACTGTTTCTGGATTTGTTGAGTTCATTGACGTATAAATAGAACCAACAGGATATAATGTTTGAAGTATTTCAGTCTTTAATGTTTGAAGCTCTGTTTTGTCTGCTTTCTTATCATATAAATCTTGAGCAGTGAATTTAACATTATTTTCATCATCCATGACATAAACATTTTTACAGCTAATTTCTTTCTTCGTTGTTATGTTTTCATTCGATGTTAAACCTTGTGGAAAGTTAGGAGGTTTATAATATAATGCATCCCCACCAGTTCCGCCAACCGTTCCTTCAATACTTTCTATAGCAACAGTTGAGAAGGAGTTATGTGTATGTTCTTTATCTGCTTTTTTATCTAACATTGCTGGTAGTTTAGTTAGTATGGCTAAGTCGTGTACTGAGGCACTGCGCGCCTCCATACACCACTTAGCGGTTTTGACACTTTACAAAATCGTTAACGTATATTTTACAACACAAACGACAACACCAACTTAACCTTAAATATTTACAAAACCGCCAACCACTTCACTAACGAACTCACTAATGTAAAAAATAAACGTTCTCACTATCGTTCTCACTAACGACTTCACTAATGTTCTCACTAACGTTCTCACTAACGTTCTCACTATCGTTCTCACTATCGTTCTCACTATCGTTCACACTAACGTTCTCACTAACGACTTCACACGTATGAAAACATAGCACAAAAATAAATTTAGGTGAAGTGGTGAAATCTCACCTCTTTTTTCACCCGGTTTTTCACCCTGTTGAATTCATTGCTTTATAACTCTCTTCCTTGGTTTCTTTTTAGTTGCTTTCTTCACGTCCGTCTCCAACTTGACTGTCTTTCTTCTTCGGCCGTAATGATACCAGTTACTTCCACCAGTCAATGGGTCAAATGGTCTTTCGTAAGGGTTTCCATACATTCCATAGGGACCATACGGAAGAACTACTGGTGGAGAAGAAACATTTTCTTTAGTTCCATCGAATCTATTTAAATGCATTGTTTCACCTTTCATCTGGTCATTAAAGTCTTTTGCGTGTTTTGCAAACTCATCGTCCTTTCCTAAAGCATTTTCTGACTCAGTCGCAACCAAATTGGATGCTTTATTTATGAGCCCTATTTTATTTAATCTTAACTTCTTTGCAACCCAGCCTCCAATCTTCCCTTTATTTGCATCTAATGTCTTCGAAACCCTTCCTCCACTCATTTTATTTACTGCGTCATAAGCTCCAAGTGCTTTTGCTCCAAATGCTAATGCTTTTGTTCCCATTGCGCCTAAAGCTGCCCAAGCTACCATTTACACCATATTAAAATCATCTCTCTTCAATATTATCTCATAAAAGTTCTCGTTACTGGAGAAAGTCAATGAAACATAAACGTTCTCACGGGCTTCGCCCTCACCGCTTTGCGGTCTATCTAACTTCTTTCTTATATCATCTATACGCTTCAAAATGTCTGAACAATTGCTAACATCTTCTACAACAGTTATTTCATCATGAATGACCTTCAAGAACAAGCTCATTTAATATGCAATTAAAATCATTTCAATAATGAGTCCATCCTTTCCATCTTTAGGTAGCACAACATCTTTCATTGAAGAAGGTTCGACAAGTCTTATGTTAAACTTACTGACAAAGTTTGTTATACTATAATGCTTTGGCGGCGAATACATATAGTTTGAAAGACATAATATAGATTCTTCAGCAAATTCACTTATACTGGATTTTATAACAATGTTCTCACGAGACCAAATACCACCAATTGACAATCTTGTAAGCAATCCTGCTGAACCTTCTACTGTAAACGTCGATGGTAACATTCCACGAAGGTCATCTATTGACATCGTTGAGTCGCTGTATTTAAAGATTTTCTTAAAGCAATCGTCATTATCTAACCATGCAATAGCTTTGAAGTTTTCATTCGAATATACATCTGCTTCATTAAATGTAAATCCTGACTTCTTTGCAGAGACGACTTTAAAATCTATTGAGTTTGTTTCAAAATTATATGCTATGGTAACTTCTGAAGGTAATGGATGTCCTTCCGCAGTCAGTTGTTCTCTCACTACCGTTTGAAGCTTTGTATTAAAAACTTTCATGTCATCTCCTGTGTCTAAGTTCACATACACAGCAACAGGGAAACTATCTTGCTTCTTTGTTTCATCATTATACCTCAAAACATTAAAGTTCTTCAATAATATTGTTCTTCCTGCTGGAATACTTCGAACCTGTCTGATTTCAATAGCTTTCTCACCTCCTACATACTCTACCCAGTGTCTTGGATATTCATAAGTATACTGACTTTCTTGAATTTTGGTTGGTTTCATCATAACATGTTCATAGTATATCTTTATACTCTTGTCAGTTAGACTCGGTGCTATGTTCTGAATATTTCTGACTTGCATTTTTAATGGAGATAAAATGAAGCATTTAATACATGATGTAGATGAAGACATGAATGAAACTACAGACAAACTTAACTCTTCTCTTATTCTTCCTTTCAGCAAAGATTATGAATTCTGTTCAAATGGTGTGTATTTCTATTGTGGAAAGATGGGTTCAGGTAAGACATTTAACCTCATTCGTCATATTCTTATAACAGAGCGTTTAGGAAACGACTCTTACTATGACCAAATCATTATATCAGCAACTTCAGACTCTATGGATTCAACAGCGAAAACATTTATGTCAAAAGTTCAAGCCTCTGTCGTTAAAGTTTCAGACAGTGAACTCATTGAATTTCTTCAACGTTACATTCGACGTAAGAGAAAATATTATGCCATCGTAGAGTTCATACAGTCAGGAATGCAAAAGACTTCTGAGGAGATGGAAAGAATTATTGACAAACACCACTTACGTCAATACTCAGGAGTATACAATATGAAACGACTTACAAATTACATTCTGTCAAAACTTTCAAAATACCCCTTCAAAAAATATCCTTCAAATACTTTTAGTTTGCGACGACTTCGCTGGAAAAGGTTTAGTGTCAAAGCCTGACTCACCATTAGCTAACATCATAACTAAAGTCAGACATTACCATTTAACTGTAGCAATACTTATGCAAACATGGAGGTTTTTAGCTTTAAACATAAAACGTCTCATAACTGACTTCGTTATCTTTCAAGGTTTCTCACGTTATGATATTGAACTCATTTGGAAACAGTCAGGTATAACATTACCTTTGAAGAAATTTGGGAAGCATATAAGTCTCTCATCTCTCCTCGTTCATACCTTGAGATTCATATCATGACTAATACCATTAAAGTCAAAAATATTCCATGGGAACGACCAACATTGTTTTAAAGTTTAACCTTCAATTGACTGATGGTAAACAAATTCCATGCATCTCTGTCGCCATTTCTGTTAATATTTTTGCTGTCATTCATATCATCCACTTCCCCATCCGTTAGCTTTTGAGGATATGCGTTAGAATAGCTGTTCTTAAATGAAGGCTTTTCACCTTTGAGAGCATAAACTCTATAACTTTCTGCATACTTTATGTTTGAACCTCCTGAGCCATCATTGACATAAATTTTTATAGGCTTCCGCCCTTTGTTCATGTTCCTGCTTCTTCCCTTAGCTCTTTTGTTCAGTAGTTCTACATCTTTATACACAGCACCTGTCTCAGTGAATTCAACAATATTTTCATTCGTTAGCTTTACATTCAAACCCTTGTCGAGTATATTGTTCATTTCATACATATAAAAGGTTTTTATTCTATATGAAATGAGAAGCAAATCCATCTTAGCTGGTGCCGTTAATGTTCCAATTGAACCAACATCAAATGTTGACTCACGAACGACAAACAATATTGTCATAAAGAACTATAGTTCAGAGTGTTTGAAAGAAAAAGAACCAGAACTTAAGTCGGTGAATTTAAACTCAGCTTCAAACGCTAACGCTACATCAGATGTTAAGTTAGAGTATCCACCACTGGACCAAATTCTTTCAAGAGAAGCCAACGACAACCCTTACACAAATGTTCAAACAAATCCTTCAGATAACGTAGACCATTACCTTCTTCAGTTATACCAAACAATTTTACTCAAAGACGATAAGAAGCTTTTGACAAATCTTATAAGCAAGAACCAAATAATTCTAACAAAGGAGGACCTTGAAAATGTTATCTCACGAATAACAGGGAAACAATGTGTCATTGACTATCTCGACCCTGAAATCGAATGCTGTGGTCAAACTCCACTATTCATGAAAATAGGTAACATCCGCATCATTGAAACACCAGGAACTACAGGAGTTGAGTTTAAGTATAAATATTCGAATGAGTATACAAAACTTTCAACAGAATATAAACTTTGTTTGAAATATGTTTTAGTAAATTAAAGCAGTCAGGACCTTCGGTCTTGGCGCTTTGCGCCGTTAGTCAAAAAAATTTCAAGTTAGCAATTTATAATATCTATCCAAAACTTCTTCAACAGTATCGAACTCATCTTCATAATGCAAACCTAATCTTATTGACTTGGTGGCAATTTTCACTAACACAAATATAGCGCTTTGCGCTCGGCGCCTTTGACGCCTTTTTCTGTTCTCTTGACTGACAAACTAACTCATTTGTTTCATCAAACAGCAACAACCAAAGTTCATGACCTAATACATAACATTCATACTTTATATTTTTAGCTCTGAGTTCTCTTGTAAGCTGTTGCATTTAATATTTTCTAAAAAGTCAACTTCAACAGTCATTCGCACTGGTGCCTTCAGTTCTACAGGCTCTCCTTGAAAGTCAACAAGTCTGAATTGCATGTCTTTCAAATTATGAGGACTAATGCGAACCCATTTACCTAAATGAGTTGCTATGACAGGAACGTTTGGAATGAACATTGAATTTACTTCATAACAGAAAGACTTATATTCTACTGAACCTTTACTATTAACTTCTGAAATACCTGTGACATTAGCTATTTTTGACTCAATGTACAAACAATTGCCATAACATACGTATGGAACAGATTTCATCTCAATCGTTTTGTCAACACTTTTCAAAGGAAATGTCATATGGTATGCACCCAAAAGAAGTTGTACTCTATGACTCATTCTTGGTATCTTAAACTCTTTCTCGCTGCTGAACTTCAATGTTCCCTCAGAAGAGAGTTCGACATCTATGTTGTCAATAGTTTCTTCATTTATGAGAGTATCTATGACCCAGCAATTTTATCTATTCTATACCCAGCTCTGTTAGGAAATGTTATAACACTTCTTTTGTCATCTATTTCAATCTCTATGAAATCTGTTTCATCTGTTATGACAAAAGTTGCGATAGTATTGAAGTCAACAACTCTGAAAGCAAGCGCTTCATTCTGAAGACCTAAGTTTGTTTGTAGCTTTACTGTCCCGTATTCGTTTGGGTCTGACTTTGCAAATAGAACAACATTTTATTCTCATTAAAATATGACTATTGCTGCATATGCGTATGAAACAAATGAAGCAAGAAGAGCACATGAATTAGTAAACGAAAACTCAACTTTAACAGTGGAAGGCAATGATTTAGTCATTGACGATGGAAAAACTAAAAAAAGTCATTGATTTCGATACTTTTAACACTTATGACCCATTCATTACAACAAGCAAGGTTCCTATCATAAATGATGGAACGGTGCAATATATAAATTCTACAATAGATGCTCATTAGTGAAAGTATTAAATGTTCTCATTGAATTGTTAAAGAGCTTTCGATTTGACGACAACATTAAATGCCTAAAGAATTTAGTCATGAATGAGAAACAAATTCTCGGCGTTGCTGGTAGCAGTAATGATGTACACCTTATGACATTAGAATATTATAACGAACATAAAGATGAACTGAAAGGAGAGAAGGGTGACACCGGACCTCAAGGACCACAAGGAATACAAGGAATACAAGGAATACAAGGACCTCAAGGCGAAAACGGTTTGGATGGTGAAGATGGAAAGGATGGAAAAACTGCTAAATCATGGATATGGAACCTTATAAATACTGGTTTAACAGCTGCTTCATATGGAGTTCTTCAATACCAAATCGGAAAGATATGGGCAGTACTTGGTGAAGAAGTTTTAGATGACGTTAAAAATGCTTTGAACTTCATTTCAAATGGTTCGGATACTATTAAAACTTTATCTGGTTGGATGCAAGAAACAAGGAGTCAAATAGATACTGTAAGACGTATAGCAAACAATGCACGTACGGGATTGGATACTTTACGAGAAGCACAAAATACACTAAAGGAAGCAAATGATATTCTTGGCTCAGTATCAGACATGCATGAAGATTGGCTTAAAGGTATTGACGAATCTTTAAAAAATCACAGTCAGTCTATTGCTGACTACAAGAAAAGTATAGATTTTTTACATAGTGCTATGGACGTACATGATGGAAGCATAAGGAACTTACTTAATGCTAACAATAACTTACCAGGAACTATTAAAGCATTTATAAAGTCCTTTGTAAAACCTGGTGCTCTAACATTTAGGTCTTTGAGAGCAAGAGCATTGAAGTCAAGAGATGCAGAAACTCCAACAGAACCTACAGAAGGAACCGAAACAACAGAAACTCCAGAAGAACCACCAAAACCAACAGCTAATGAAATATTGTTCGAATATTTTCCAAGGTACTCTGTCCTCATTGCATACATTCAAGAAATACTTAAGAAAGCAGACTTGACTTTAGGAGATGATGAAAGTTCTGTATATCTTTCGTTCCAGTTTCAAATAGCAGAACTTTTGAGACAGATATGCTTAATGTATGACAACATCTCTGATTTCACAAGATATGATGACGACCATGACCCCGAACACGGTGAAGAAGAAGTTTTACAAACATCCATTAAGACAGGAAAGGTTTTAACTCAAAGTCTCATTATTGACACCAAAGATGGCGAAGTGGACGTTCTTCAAGAGCTGAAGAAAAATACTTCTGAAGGAGGTGGTGGTAGGCATGAACTTGAAATAAATGAGATAGAAGAGAAATTAGCCGAAAAAGCAGATAAAAACCATGTTCATTATATAAGTTCAGACGAACAGATTATAACGGACTACCATGGATATTTAACACAGGATGAAGAAGTGAAGACGAAAGATGTTAATGAAAGAAGATATAAATTCATTCGTGCTAAAGGTTATGGCATACACTGTACTGTACAGTATGACACAGGTAAAGCACAAGAAGCATTTGGTTATAACGATGAAATATACGCTTCATACTTCTTTGTTAACGATGTATTAGTTGAACCAAGATTTACATTGAGAGTTAAGGCAAAAATAACTTTTGAAGATGCTATTAAAAGTAAAGCTGACAAAGATAAACTTGACGCAACGAACAAAGTTTTGAAATCTCATAAACACAATATCTCCGATATAAATGAACTTCAAGCTACATTAAATAGTAAAGCTGACAAGAACCATACACATAAATCCTTCACTACTGTTAGAGCAGACGACATAATATTGAACTATACCCTTGGTTCAAGTGCACCTTTAGAGAATCCGAGTACAAGCGTAAAAGATACACTAAACTCCTTAAATAACAAATGTATGAATATCGAAGGTCATGTCAGAAACTTTGAAACACATGAACTACCAGCAATGTTAGATAAAAAAGCAGATAAAGAACATACACATAACTCCTTCTCAACTGTTGCTATAGAAAGTATTGAAGGAACGGTTGGCGGAACTGGTGGGGATGCATTATATTATAAACCTCCTAACTTTCCACAAGGTTTAACATCGAATGAAAACATAACAACGAAGAAAGAAATTAGCTGTAAAAATGTTTATGTCATGGATGATGAAAATAATGTTAAATTCACTGCTCAAGATTTATATGATAAGAAAGCAGACAAAACAGAGCTTCAAACATTAAAGACTGAAATACTTCAAACATTATATCCTGTTGGTTCTATTTATACGTCAATGAACTCAACAAATCCAGAAACAGTTTTAGGTTTTGGTACGTGGAAGCAGATTGTAGATAAATTCTTATACTGTGCTAGATATTCAAAGCAAACAGGAGGTTCGAAGAAAATTAAAGAAGCAAACCTTCCACCGCACACTCATACAGGAACTACAAACTTTTCTGGCGACCATAGCCACTCATTAAGAGACCACCCATTATACAACTCAGAGTATGAAGCTGGCAATGACGTTTTATCTCCATCTTATAACAATGCAGCAAAAAAGATTTTTCGACCAACTGAACCAGGAGGAAATCATTCACACACTTTCACAACAAATCCAACAGGCTCGGGTGCAGATTACATGCCACCATTTGTGACTGTATTTGCATGGTACCGCGTTCAATGAACGCGCTTGAGCCTAGAATAAAATCTTTAACTTTACATAAATGAGCTTGAAAGAAGTATTCGAACAACATCCGTGGAGGTCATTTAAGAAGTTCAATGAAGCTGCAAAGAGTTGGGGATTTACTAACAGAGCTGAAGTGAAAAGGTTCTTTGACAAAAATGTTGTACATCAAACAAAAATAAACCCTTACGACTACTTTTTACCAATTTACTCCAACACTCCTGACGCATACCAATTTGACACTCTCATTCAAAGCAGAAAAGGAGGTCATAAACCATTTTTGATTTTCATTAATGTTAACACTCGTAAAGCATATGCATATCCAATGAAAAATAAAGGAACTCGTGAAGTGTTAAGAGTTTTACAAAAGTTTGTAGCAGAACATAGCCCAAGTACTTTAACATCAGACCAAGACAGTGCATACCTCAGCAATGAAATCACATATTTTCTCATTAAGCATAACATAACTCACTACACTACTGAAGACCATAACCACAACATACTCGGCATCATAAACCGCTTCATAAGAACGCTCAGAGATTTAAATCAAGAGCGAGACTTTACCGAAGAAACAATGAAACACTTTCTCGAAGTATATAATTCCTCAACACATTCTACAACAGGACATACACCAAATTCAATGACACAACAACAAGAAGAAAAGTATATACAAAAGAAACGAAGTCAAACACAAAATATCAGAAATTCAACACAATTTACCCTCATTCCTGGTACAAAAGTTCGTGTAGTTCTTGACGACAAACCGTTGACAAAGAAACGTTTAAGGTTAAGTAGAAACTATTATATCGTAGACTCTACGCAAGGTAATGGATATCTTATAAAAGCTGCTGACGACTCTATTGCGTTTTACCCTCGTCACAAATTAGTCGAAAGTAGTAATGGCAAACTTGCTGAAACCATTGACGAAGCAAAGCGAGGAGTGGTTATTGAAATACTTGGCTACAACATAAACGATGACACTTATAAAGTAAGATATGAAGGAGGCGTTGAAGATGTTATACCATCTAAGAACTTGAGAGAGTCAAAGTCAACACATCTGGGACCATTAGAGCGGGAGTACTGGAAAGACAAAAATATGCCAGAAAGAATAAGAAAATTCTTCTAAACTTTTTCATTAGATGTAAATCAGACATGAATGAGAACAGTCATGTATTAATGGTACCATTTATTTTAACATAAAGACGCAAAGCGGCGAGGACGAAGTCCATGACCAAAAATATAATTTAGGTGAAGAGGTGAGATCTCACCTGTTTTTTCACCTCTTTTTTCACAAGCGTTTTACATGAATTGTACGATGTATATTTGAAATCCTAAACAATTTCGTAGCTTCTATTTCTTCTTTTAGTACATCGAATGTTTTAACAATGCCGAAGGTTTCTTTATACTTCTTCTTGACGTCAGACAGAAGGAAATCTTCTGCTGTTGGATAGTTTTTATTAAGAAATGCTAACATGTCCATTTTATTTTCTGCTGGTTTTTCTGCTTCTTTCTTTAAGTCTGCATAGTCGTTTCTCATTCGTTCTATCTCTTTGACTGAGTAGTTATATTTTCTTATTGCTGCTTTACATTTTGAACATTGCGGCATCGTTTTTGCGTTATACATTGAAATAAAACCAGCTAGAACAACTAAGGCGTCAATGGTTTTCTTTAACTCAAAAGCTGCTGGTTTTATCTGTTCATTCCATACTTTACCTCTTCTATCTTTATCTCTTATCTGCCATACACATTTTGCAACTAATGAAACAAAGTTATCGTATGTCTTAAATTCTTCGGATTTGTAAAGGTCAGAAATATTTTTATAAACCATGTCGCAATCTTTGTCCATAACTTTATGGTTGCAATGAAAACCAAGGAATTCATAATTTACTTTACGTATGAATTTCTTAATTTCTACTGAGTCAGTTGCTTTGACTTCAATTTCGTCGAATTCAGGAATAGTTAGTTTTTGCTGCTGAATTTCAGGTAGTTTAGGCAAATGGTCGATGAGGTCCTCCATTTCATAAAGATACTGTTCATTTGTTTCATCTTTCGCACTACAGTCTAAATTACTTGTTAAAAGTTCTTGCTTTATCTTCTGGATTTCTGTTTCAAAAGTATATGAAGAAGGAATAAAGCTTTTCATCTCTACCAACATTGACGTAGGATTCATGACTAGCGAGTTTGGTGCTGTAGTTGTGGACAGAGTCCCGCCGTTCGTGGCTTGAATTGATGTTGTGCCGATTGTTGAAATCATATCTTTTATACAAAATAAAAAAATAAATAAAAATAAAACTAACTTTATTTTTTCTATCTTAAGGAAATTCATGAAAATTCGTGAGGGTGAAAAAACAGGTGAAAAACAGGAGATCTCACCTCTTCACCTCAATTATATTTTTGGTCATGGACTTCGTCCTCGCCGCTTTGCGTCTTTATGTTAAAATAAATGGTACCATTAATGATAACATGACTGTTCTCATTCATGTCTGATTTACATCTAATGAAAAAGTTTAGAAGAATTTTCTTATTCTTTCTGGCTTATTTTTGTCTTTCCAGTACTCCCGCTCTAATGGTCCCAGATGTGTTGACTTTGACTCTCTCAAGTTCTTAGATGGTATAACATCTTCAACGCCTCCTTCATATCTTACTTTATAAGTGTCATCGTTTATGTTATAGCCAAGTATTTCAATAACCACTCCTCGCTTTGCTTCGTCAATGGTTTCAGCAAGTTTGCCATTACTACTTCGACTAATTTGTGACGAGGGTAAAACGCAATAGAGTCGTCAGCAGCTTTTATAAGATATCCATTACCTTGCGTAGAGTCTACGATATAATAGTTTCTACTTAACCTTAAACGTTTCTTTGTCAACGGTTGTCGTCAAGAACTACACGAACTTTTGTACCAGGAATGAGGGTAAATTGTGTTGAATTTCTGATATTTTGTGTTTGACTTCGTTTCTTTTGTATATACTTTTCTTCTTGTTGTTGTGTCATTGAATTTGGTGTATGTCCTGTTGTAGAATGTTTGAGGAATTATATACTTCGAGAAAGTGTTCATTGTTTCTTCGGTAAGTCTCGCTCTTGATTTAAATCTCTGAGCGTTCTTATGAAGCGGTTTATGATGCCGAGTATGTTGTGGTTATGGTCTTCAGTAGTGTAGTGAGTTATGTTATGCTTAATGAGAAAATATGTGATTTCATTGCTGAGGTATGCACTGTCTTGGTCTGATGTTAAAGTACTTGGGCTATGTTCTGCTACAACTTTTGTAAAACTCTTAACACTTCACGAGTTCCTTATTTTCATTGGATATGCATATGCTTTACGAGTGTTAACATTAATGAAAATCAAAAATGGTTTATGACCTCCTTTTCTGCTTTGAATGAGAGTGTCAAATTGGTATGCGTCAGGAGTGTTGGAGTAAATTGGTAAAAAGTAGTCGTAAGGGTTTATTTTTGTTTGATGTACAACATTTTTGTCAAAGAACCTTTTCACTTCAGCTCTGTTAGTAAATCCCCAACTCTTTGCAGCTTCATTGAACTTCTTAAATGACCTCCACGGATGTTGTTCGAATACTTCTTTCAAGCTCATTTATGTAAAGTTAAGATTTTATTCTAGGCTCAAGCGCGTTCATTGAACGCGGTACCATGCAAATACAGTCACAAATGGTGGCATGTAATCTGCACCCGAGCCTGTTGGATTTGTTGTGAAAGTGTGTGAATGATTTCCTCCTGTTCAGTTGGTCGAAAAATCTTTTTTGCTGCATTGTTATAAGATGGAGATAAAACGTCATTGCCAGCTTCATACTCTGAGTTGTATAATGGGTGGTCTCTTAATGAGTGGCTATGGTCGCCAGAAAAGTTTGTAGTTCCTGTATGAGTGTGCGGTGGAAGGTTTGCTTCTTTAATTTTCTTCGAACCCCTGTTTGCTTTGAATATCTAGCACAGTATAAGAATTTATCTACAATCTGCTTCCACGTACCAAAACCTAAAACTGTTTCTGGATTTGTTGAGTTCATTGACGTATAAATAGAACCAACAGGATTAATGTTTGAAGTATTTCAGTTCTTTAATGTTTGAAGCTCTGTTTTGTCTGCTTTCTTATCATATAAATCTTGAGCAGTGAATTTAACATTATTTTCATCATCCATGACATAAACATTTTTACAGCTAATTTCTTTCTTCGTTGTTATGTTTTCATTCGATGTTAAACCTTGTGGAAAAGTTAGGAGGTTATAATATAATGCATCCCCACCAGTTCCGCCAACCGTTCCTTCAATACTTTCTATAGCAACAGTTGAGAAGGAGTTATGTGTATGTTCTTTATCTGCTTTTTTATCTAACATTGCTGGTAGTTTAGTTAGTATGGCTAAGTCGTGTATGAGGCACTGCGCGCCTCCATACACCACTTAGCGGTTTTGACACTTTACAAAATCGTTAACGTATATTTTACAACACAACGACAACACAACTTAACCTTAAATATTTACAAACCGCCAACCACTTCACTAACGAACTCACTAATGTAAAAAATAAACGTTCTCACTATCGTTCTCACTAACGACTTCACTAATGTTCTCACTAACGTTCTCACTAACGTTCTCACTATCGTTCTCACTATCGTTCTCACTATCGTTCACACTAACGTTCTCACTAACGACTTCACACGTATGAAAACATAGCACAAAAATAAATTTAGGTGAAGTGGTGAAATCTCACCTCTTTTTCACCCGGTTTTTCACCCTGTTGAATTCATTGCTTTATAACTCTCTTCCTTGGTTTCTTTTTAGTTGCTTTCTTCACGTCCGTCTCCACTTGACTGTCTTTCTTCTTCGGCCGTAATGATACCAGTTACTTCCACAGTCAATGGGTCAAATGGTCTTTCGTAAGGGTTTCCATACATTCCATAGGGACCATACGGAAGAACTACTGGTGGAGAAGAAACATTTTCTTTAGTTCCATCGAATCTATTTAAATGCATTGTTTCACCTTTCATTGGTCATTAAAGTCTTTTGCGTGTTTTGCAAACTCATCGTCCTTTCCTAAAGCATTTTCTGACTCAGTCGCAACCAAATTGGATGCTTTATTTATGAGCCCTATTTTATTTAATCTTAACTTCTTTGCAACCAGCCTCCAATCTTCCCTTTATTTGCATCTAATGTCTTCGAAACCCTTCCTCCACTCATTTTATTTACTGCGTCATAAGCTCCAAGTGCTTTTGCTCCAAATGCTAATGCTTTTGTTCCCATTGCGCCTAAAGCTGCCCAAGCTACCATTTACACCATATTAAAATCATCTCTCTTCAATATTATCTCATAAAAGTTCTCGTTACTGGAGAAAGTCAATGAAATAAACGTTCTCACGGGCTTCGCCCTCACCGCTTTGCGGTCTATCTAACTTCTTTCTTATATCATCTATACGCTTCAAAATGTCTGAACAATTGCTAACATCTTCTACAACAGTTATTTCATCATGAATGACCTTCAAGAACAAGCTCATTTAATATGCAATTAAAATCATTTCAATAATGAGTCCATCCTTTCCATCTTTAGGTAGCACAACATCTTTCATTGAAGAAGGTTCGACAAGTCTTATGTTAAACTTACTGACAAAGTTTGTTATACTATAATGCTTTGGCGGCGAATACATATAGTTTGAAAGACATAATATAGATTCTTCAGCAAATTCACTTATACTGGATTTTATAACAATGTTCTCACGAGACCAAATACCACCAATTGACAATCTTGTAAGCAATCCTGCTGAACCTTCTACTGTAAACGTCGATGGTAACATTCCACGAAGGTCATCTATTGACATCGTTGAGTCGCTGTATTTAAAGATTTTCTTAAAGCAATCGTCATTATCTAACCATGCAATAGCTTTGAAGTTTTCATTCGAATATACATCTGCTTCATTAAATGTAAATCCTGACTTCTTTGCAGAGACGACTTTAAAATCTATTGAGTTTGTTTCAAAATTATATGCTATGGTAACTTCTGAAGGTAATGGATGTCCTTCCGCAGTCAGTTGTTCTCTCACTACCGTTTGAAGCTTTGTATTAAAAACTTTCATGTCATCTCCTGTGTCTAAGTTCACATACACAGCAACAGGGAAACTATCTTGCTTCTTTGTTTCATCATTATACCTCAAAACATTAAAGTTCTTCAATAATATTGTTCTTCCTGCTGGAATACTTCGAACCTGTCTGATTTCAATAGCTTTCTCACCTCCTACATACTCTACCAGTGTCTTGGATATTCATAAGTATACTGACTTTCTTGAATTTTGGTTGGTTTCATCATAACATGTTCATAGTATATCTTTATACTCTTGTCAGTTAGACTCGGTGCTATGTTCTGAATATTTCTGACTTGCATTTTTAATGGAGATAAAATGAAGCATTTAATACATGATGTAGATGAAGACATGAATGAAACTACAGACAAACTTAACTCTTCTCTTATTCTTCCTTTCAGCAAAGATTATGAATTCTGTTCAAATGGTGTGTATTTCTATTGTGGAAAGATGGTTCAGGTAAGACATTTAACCTCATTCGTCATATTCTTATAAGAGCGTTTAGGAAACGACTCTTACTATGACCAAATCATTATATCAGCAACTTCAGACTCTATGGATTCAACAGCGAAAACATTTATGTCAAAAGTTCAAGCCTCTGTCGTTAAAGTTTCAGACAGTGAACTCATTGAATTTCTTCAACGTTACATTCGACGTAAGAGAAAATATTATGCCATCGTAGAGTTCATACAGTCAGGAATGCAAAAGACTTCTGAGGAGATGGAAAGAATTATTGACAAACACCACTTACGTCAATACTCAGGAGTATACAATA